TGTACATATAAAATTTCAGCTATCTTCAAAGCTGAAGAAGTTTTGTAAATATATGTCCTCGGACGGACGAATATAGTCCGTTCAGGCACTTTTTCCAAAAATTTTTTGGAAAAGTACTAAAAAAATTAAAAAGAATTCAAACGTACTGCATACTAAATTTAAATTCACAATAAATATATAATATGTATATATGAAAATTACAGAAAAATATTTAACACAAACGTTTTAATAGGTATGTATGTATGTATATGTAGTTCAAATAATTTTTTTTGGAAAAACGAACTTCATGATATAAGCTACGTTGCAAAGTTAGTGCTAAAAACTTCATATCTTCAAAAAGAAATTCCAAAAATAAAGTTAAACCATAAAAAACCGCACGGTTGATCAGAGCTCGCAATTATATAAAGATATATATATTATGTTTCTTAAACTTTCAACCTCACAACACATAAATACGCTAAACAATTCCAAGTTTATATGTATGTAATTAGTGACTTACTATGTATTGCAATTTCGACATTATAATCACAAAGGCTCAACTTTAAATTCTCTTTGAGAAGCTTAATTTTAAAAAAAAAATACATGTACATACTATGTAAAAAAATTATATGCACATTAACATTATTAATAATGTAAAAGCTATTAGAGATATGTAAATATACGTACTTATAAAAATTGATAAAAAATAAAAAAAAAGAATCAATTTTATATTATGTATCTTTTTTGTACTATCTATAAAATTACCCTAACTTTCGGCATTAATACATTATGTCAAATAATAATGTACATACATATTAATAATTTCAAAAACAAACTATATTTATTTCAATTACGAAACGAATAAGAATTGAATCCGGGAAAAAATTGTTGTTTATATTTAATGTGTTTGGCAACATACGTTATGTACTCGTATATTTCCTATGAAAAATTGTGATTTCTACAGATTTTTAATAAAAACGGAGTTTTTTCGTGTATATAATTATGTCCATATATAATTATAATTTTAATAATTATAATGGATTATAATAATGTTTAAGAAAGACTTTTCCGTATGTATATAGATATGCGTACATATAACAATAATTGGTTTTATCTTGATTGAATTATATTGTTAATTGTTTTAAAACTTTTATGGATATTTGTTGAAACTATATTTATGTATGCACATGTTTATCACATATTTAGAAGCATTGCTAAGGTTTTAAAAATCGATTGATCTAGTTTTATTCTTTGCTCCAGTTTTCTTATATTGCGATATCTAATTTTCCTCGAATACAAAATATATTTAAAAATGTGTGGTTTTTTATGTACATTTATGTATATACATATTTTTAAAAATTAAATTTATAATAAAAATAACAACTGTTGTATTGATTATTGTTTTTAATTTTATTATACATATTATGCACATAAAACTTTTATATGTACATATACATATATGCACATAATAAATGTATATGTACTATAAATAAAAGTAAAACCATCGAAATGTGAAAAATATCATATTCGTAAAAACCTATCTTTTCGAATCTGAATCAGCAGTGTTCTTATATGAATGGTTATATCTATTCAAAAAAAAATTTTCATATATGTATCTTTTAATCTAAGGAATTACTATCTAAAAACTCTAGCGAGTCTAAAGAAATTAAACAGTTGCAACCAAATTTTATTAGGCTGAGATCTAGAATACACTAGATTACGCACACTGCGTATGGGCTATGCATCACAAATACCCTTATAAGAACGGCGAAGCGAATGGCTAGGCGAGTCATATGGACTAGGCGAATCGAATGATATTTGAAATTACGATCGGTGAATGCTTTCATTCGCCAGATCCAAAATGTTGCTACCGCAAGACATCCGAAAACCTACCGGATATATTAAAGTCAACAACACAAATGTGTACGATATTTTTGCTTTTTTGCAAAAACAATTGAATTTTTCTATCCTTTGACAATGACGACGTTGTTATCCATTAATTTAAATGCTGGAATTGTTTTTAGTTCGTTTTTTTCGCGCTTAAATTAATATTAAACAATCAATATTTTTTAAAATGTCACACAGCATTTTCATTCGACAGATTTGAGAGCTCATTCGCTCAATCATAATAAGAACCAAATATGCTTTAACAGTGCTAACTCACCTAACTGAATTTTCAAATAAATGTTGCTTATTACAGAATTTTTCTAATTTTAAAATGTTGGGTTTGTCTAAAATTTCTATTATAATAAAAGTATGTATCATAAATTCTGTTGAGAGTAAATTGCTCTTTTAAAATGGTTAATTTCAATAAAAATTTCATTAATATTATGTGTGTAAGCATCTGGAAGCTATATGGCAAATTTTAAAATGAAAACCTCATTTCACTAATCAAAAAAGACATAGAACTCTGATAACAGAAGAAATCTTAATATGCGTACATACAGTGGTACAAAAAATTATTTGTACAAGATTCAGTTGCTTGTAGTTTTTCGATTTCAGATATATTAACTTATATATTAACTCAATTAAATTTTTTTTTATTAGAATGTATTCTTCATTTATTTCTTTTTAATTTTCAATAACAAAAAAAAAGACAGAACATAAGTAAAAAAAATAATAAAAATAAACGTCAGTCACATTTTCGAGTCAAAAGTCATTCGTACAATTCATACAGGTTCAGATAATTACAGTTATTTTAATTAAAAATTTCGTCTTCAATATTTATAAATAAGAATTAGTCAATATTTAACTGTCCCTATACATGATTCATTGATTGGTGCAGTTTTTATAAAATATTTTACAATATGAGTGGAAAACAAAAAGAAATTACTCTTGAGGAGCGCAAAGTTATAAATAAGCTTGTCCGTGAACTCAAAAAAATTACGTCTCCAATATTTATAAATAAGAATTAGTCAATATTTGACTGTGCCTATACATGATTCATTGATTGGTGCAGTTTTCATAAATTATTTTACAATATGAGTCGAAAACAAAAAGAAACTACTCTTGAGGAGCGCAATGTAATAAATAAGCTTGTCCGTGAACTCAAAACATATAGGGATGTGGGTAAAATTGTTGGAAGAAACCACTCATCCATTGAGTCCATAAATATAAGCATGAGGGAATTTTGAAAAATAAAGCAGGATGTGATAGATAAAAACGGTTCACACAAACAACAGGAAATTTTGTTGTAAGTAAAATCAAAGCAAATCTCAAAATACACATTCCCAGTACGAGAAACTAAAAAACCAGGTACGAGAAATAATGAAAACCATTTATTTTAGAAGAAAACCGAAAGGTATGGAGTTTGCTAAAACTTATATTAGCAAAGTAATTTTCTATGACAAATTAAAGTTTATGATTTTTTAATCAGATAAAAGGTAAATGGTATGGAGAGAGCCAAATTCTGAACTCGATAAAAAATATTTGCAAGCCACAGTTAAACGTGGTGGGAAGTATTTTATTGTATGGGTGTATGGCGCCCTCTAATGTTGGAAATTTAGAAATAATTGAAAATATTATGTATAAATTTGGGTACTTAGATATTTTAAAACGTAATTTGGTACGCTAGCATAGAAAAATTAGGATGGACCGAGAAATACTACCTTCAACAAGATAACGACCCGAAACACACCTTAAGTAATAATAAAAAAATATGATTTTATATTACTGGTGTTCACACTTTATCTAAGTCTTGTCAAAGAATGATTACTTCACAATCTTAGACATCAATGACGCACTATATTAGCAAAGTAATTTTCTATGACAAATTAAAGTTTATGATTTTTTAATCAGATAAAAGGTAAATGGTATGGAGAGAGCCAAATTCTGAACTCGATAAAAAATATTTGCAAGCCACAGTTAAACGTGGTGGGAAGTATTTTATTGTATGGGTGTATGGCGCCCTCTAATGTTGGAAATTTAGAAATAATTGAAAATATTTTGTATAAATTTGGGTACTTAGATATTTTAAAACGTAATTTGGTACGCTAGCATAGAAAAATTAGGATGGACCGAGAATTACTACCTTCAACAAGATAACGACCCGAAGCACACCTTAAGTAATAATAAAAAAATATGATTTTATATTACTGGTGTTCACACTTTATCTAAGTCTTGTCAAAGAATGATTACTTCACAATCTTAGACATCAATGACGCACTCCTTAACAATCACCAAATATTAACTAAATTGAAAATGTATGGATTAATTTGGAAACACGAATCCGAAAGGAAAGGGAAATGTTACTTGAAGAACGGTAAAAAATCAACCGTAATGAAACTTCAAATTTAATTAAATCGATGGAAAGTCTTCGCAAAGCCATAATACAAGCCAAAGGGAATCATAAAAATATTATACATATAACTTATTTATTTTTAAAAAACTCTTGATATTTTTTTTGTACGAATAATTTTTTGTCTCGAAAATGTGACTGAAATTCGTTTTTATTATTTTTTTCTACTTAAGGTTTGTTTTTTTTTATTAAAAATTGAAAAGAAAAAAGTGAAGAATAAATTCTATGAAAAATTTTTTTTATAAGTTAATATACTTACTTGGAAATCGAAAAACTACAGGCAACTTAATCTTGTACGAATAATTTTTTTACCGCTGTATGTATAAATATTCACAACTTCAACGTATAACGCAATATTTTTCAAACACATAAGCAAGTTGAGTAGAACAACTAAAAAACCCTGTAGGTTCTGTAAAGATATGAATTTTATTGTGTAAAAATCTAAAAAAAAAGAATCTTTAAAATTTGCCCTTTTTAAATTAAACCAAAAGAGAAGACTCGTTGGCAAATAATTTATATTCAAAACGTTGTATTTAATGCATTTTCAAAATGCATTATTTAATGCATTTTTAAAATGCATTATTTAATAAACGTTGTAATAATGCATTTTTATTTTCAAACAGTTCAGTTTAAAAATAAAAGTTAAAATATTTTTTTATAATTAATTTTTTTATAATAACAAAAAAACAACGTAAAACCAAATATATTTAAAGTTTGAAATTACCTACAAACTGATAAATACAAAAAATCCTTTCAAAAAATGTTTTTTGTTTTATTATTTATATCATTGACGAGTCCTGGACTAATAATTTTTTTATGAATAAACACAATATAAAAACAAAAAAATTTAAATACATAAGATTTTTCGCTATCTTCCTTTGATAATGTTAGAAATAATATGAAAAATAATTTCTTTATGGAATTTATTTCTTACTTTAAACTTTATATTACGGATTATATTCACCACACTAAAACTTATCTCCTGATTTTAAGACAGTATTTATTTCTGTAAAGCAAAACATATTTTACTTTCATTGAATGAAAAATATCAAATTATATAATTCTTTTAGCAATTATAATATAAGTACACTTCTTTTTCCTTTGTAATGTTAATAATTAAGTACGGAGTCATTAATACAAACAATAAAACTTTGTTCAACATAAAACTTTAAATAACTCAATTAAAACATCAAGATATAAAAAACAAAACAAAAACAAAGTTAGTCGAAATAAATGTTTGTGTGTAGAAGCGTATAATTTTTTTTTTTGTTTTTTAAACCTAATATTTTTTAAATTTACTGACAACTTTTCTAGAAGCAGCTAGAAGACAAATTGAATTACATACTATTAAATTTTATGTATTCGATTATCGCAACCTTTTAAATTTTAAAAAGAAAACAGTGTAAAGTGTAAAATATATGTATAATAAAATTTAAAGCAGAAAAATATGTCATTATGTATGTACGAAAAAGAGAAATGTATAGATAAATATTGTGCTGAATACGAAAAAAAATTACATATATATATGTTCATACGTAATTGGCAAAAGGTATTACTTCGTTTTCTTGTTGTTATTTTCCTTTAAATGTTAGCACTTAAAAAGAACATTTCGATCGAATTTTCTTGCTTCTTTTTACATGGCTACATTGTTAATTTTTTTTTATACAAGATGGCGTTTACACATCCAACAAAGTTTGGCAATTTTATTAAATTAACCGTTAATTTAAGTATCGTTTTAACCGTTAAGTGGTTATAAGCATTATTATGGAAATTATAAGCATTAATTTATAGGATCTGGTAGCTTTTTTTCTCAACAGACTGCAGCTCGAAAACGAGTGCATCCATACTACACACTCATATAATTTTTTGCTGGAAATTGGTCGAAGAATCATCCCTGAAATAAAATTTTACTTTATGTGTAAATGCTATTTAATGTATTTAAAGTTAAGTACCGATTCATTTAATCGTGCGGATGCTTTGGTTATGTTATCACATTAGACACTTCCAAACAAGGAAATTTCGAGGTACTGATCTACACTTAATAAACTAAATATTACATATATATAGGTACATACATATTATATGTTAAAATGTCAAACATTGAAAAATACATAATACAGTACCTACCTACTTGATTGCGGCTCAATTTCAAATTGATATGTTATATATGTACATATGTATAAAGAAATTACATTTTATATAATACACATTTACATAAGCATCTATAAATTTATATTTCATCACATTTAAAAAAATATACATAACACTATAATGTAGATTTAGACAGTTCACCTTTTTCTACTAATATCCAGAGATTTTCACCACCTCCAGTAATTTGCTTTATAAGTCCACATTTAGCTAGTTTCATAAGATGATGATTTACGTTAAATGCGGCTGCTAATTTTAAATTTTCAGGTAAGTTTTCGTAAATAATTTCCACAATCATTCTGTCTGTAAAAGTTTTTTTCGCATTTGTTTCAAAAACATCAATAATTTGTTTTTCTCTTTGATTTCTATGTTCAATATAGTAATTTAACTTTTCTATAGGGTTTTCAATTATATTTCCATGTCCAGGATAAATAACTTTTGGGTTTAAGTCAAGAATAGTTTTTAAACTCTTCATGTACTCATAAAGATCTTCGAAAACAGCAGTGCCTTCTCCCAAAACACAATCGCCACTAAAAAGTGAACCATCTTGTAAGGTTAAGACAACATGATCAGTAGTGTGGCCCGGTGTATGTACAACTTTTAATACTGCTCCTATCGAAAAAATTTAATTTTCAGTTGATATTAGGTTCATATTTTTTACCAATTACCTTCCACTTTAAATATTTGACCATTATTCAATTTTTTAATTGCTATGTTAGGTAAAATCTCATCATCTGCATCACTTCTTTCGTATTTCCATACCCTACACTTTTCATCCCGAAGGATATCTTTCACACCACCAATGTGATCATGATGCCAATGTGTTAATATAATATCTTTTATTTTAGCATCTTCTTCTTTTAAAACTCTTTTTAGTAGCTGTACATATTTAGGAACATTGGCATCACCTGCATCAATTAATATACGCTCTTTCCCCGTTCCTATCAAATATGTGTTTGTACCTTGTAATGTCATTGCACTTGGATTACACCCTAGCACGCGAATTATATGTTGTGAAATTTTAGTTACATCAGGTATACTCCGTAATTTTATCAAGCTCATCACCAATGGTTTATTTCTTTCTCAAATTTGAACACGCAAGTACCTTATCAATGATATGAAGTCTATTTATAGGTAGAGAATTAATGAATTCCGTGAGAAAATTTATTATTTAAATACTCGAAAGCTTAAAATTGCACATTGAAATACAGTGTAATTGTATTTAAAACAACGTAATATTATACCTGAAAGTTTGTGGATTTAAAATACTTACAAAAAAGAGACACCCTTTTGATAAATAGATTTTATAGATAGTTTTTATAACAAGTATTAATAAATCAACAATTTTTAACTTTCTTTGGTGAAATTTTATCAAATTATTAAACTACTTGTTCAATGTTTACTATTTTACTAGTTTTGACATTTTTTTAAATTCACTATATACACAAATAACGTCACTTCACGAAACACTCGTACAAAAAGCAGAACTGCCGTTTTGAAATCTTTTCCACAATTGGATTTTTTATTGTGGTTGCAAAATTAGAAGAATCTTTCTTTGCATTATTTTCTAGCAAATTTCTATATTTAATTTATTTTTTTTTTGTAGATATATTTTAATTTGGATATGTCCAAAAAAGAAGTTTATTTAATCTTCAAAATGTTACCCCTAAAAATTGTGATTTTTTTAATGTTTCTGTTTATTAGCATTTAAATTGTCAAACACTTTACATGTTTACACTATCTAATCACTATGCTTATAAGTCATCTCCTGTCACTGTAAATTAAATTTTGATAAAAATAAAATTATAAAATGAAACGTGATTCGTTTTATAATAAACATTAATAAAGACAAATTGCATTTTATGAAAACGTTCAGTTTTGTTATGTTGCTGCGGCATCACGGTAATTTTGTTTGGATAATTTTGTTCTAGGATCAATAGTTCTATATCTTCTGTTCTTCGTCTTTTAATTTAACATTAATGAAAAATCTGACAGATATACTATCCCAGTAATCTCAAGTACGGAAAATTAAAGTAATCAAAATTGATTGCGTATAACTCTCTTATAATTGAACAGAATATTTATACCAAAGTATATCCACTAACAAGTAGTTCGACTCTCCGTTTACATCACACTAATGCAATCACTCACCAATTTTTATATACAAAAAATTCCTTTAGTTAAAAAAGTTAAGCAGTATACTTTCTTATTTTCATTTTTATACACATAAGAATTTTTGGGAGAGGGAAAGAGTACGCAATAGATGTCAACCTGTTTTTTTATAATGTAATTTTGAAAGGCGACACTTTATTATTTGTTCCTATATAAAGTATAGGGAAAAATATTAAGAATTTTAAAAGCGACACAATAATTTCTGTAATTCATTCCAGTACAAGGAGGCAAAAAATGTGTATTATATTATAAAAGCGAAGAAGAAAAAAAGTGTTTAAAAAAATTATTATAATTTATATAATATAATTTTTAAAAATAATAAAAATAAATTTTGAAAAGACGTACAATAGTGAAAAAAAATTTAAATAGTTGTGAAAAAAATATTTTTTTTTATAAAAATGGGTAAACATTAAAGATGTGAAGAGATATGTAGTTTTGAAAATATTTTAAATATTTAGTGTTAGGCATTTGTAATTAATAAATAAAATAAATAAATTATCTTTAAATTTTTTATTTTTATTTCAATCTTAATAAATTTAGAACATATTTCCCATGAATTGTTAATAATTATATTTCATAAAGTAATCAGTATGCATACACCTTTGTTTTCCTTATAAATTACTTTATTTCTATGTCACTACCTGATAATGTGTATCTATTGTACCAGGTACATGCATGTGTACATTCATACCTGAAATTTCAAACTCTTTTGCTTCCATACATTCGAATTTTTTACCTAAATTTTATAAAATGAAAAATAAATTTTGTTATTTCAAAATAAAAATAACAAAATTTTTACCTAACTTAATTTAATTTTATTTTAGTTCAATGTTTTTGATACACTCGTTTGTTTACAATATTTTGTTGCTTTCTTGCCTACACAACTCTTATTACCATCTATTTGTAAAAAAAATGGAATATTTTAAGAATTTGGAAGCAAGATGCAAATGAAAACTAACGGAATGGAACGAGTCGAATTACTTATTAGTAGATATACTTTGATTTATACCTAACCCTAATTTAAATAACTTGCATTCGGAATTTAAACTAATTTGCCGACATTTTTATTGACAATTTTATTATTTATACCTTTCATATTTACACATTCAAAATAGTTTAATCTGTACATATTTTACATTCGAAGTTTGTGTAATTTCGTACATCCTTTCAAAATTTAACTTTATACTAATACGACTATAACTACTTCTAAATAATATTACAGATTTGTTATTTCTACTAATTTTCTGTTTAATAGAAATGGAAGATTCCTCAAAATTTAAGAATGAAAAGATCAAGGATAAGTTCCAAATTTATTCATCACTAGCTTTTATGGTAGTAGTAGTTATTATAGGAGTTCCTATGTGGTGGAAAACTACAGAAGTTTACAGAAGTACGCTTCCCAATAACGAAATAAAATATTTAAATGCAAAGAACATAAAAATTTTTTTAAATGTATACGTTTGCTCGTCTGATATCTTGCGATCTACATATCTAATTGAAGGCATTAAATCTTATTTCGAACATTCCGATATATTTCACATTAATTTTGTACCATTAAATGTTAGCACAAATGATATAAAAACCCCAGCTTCTTTAGAAAATTTATTGAAAACCAGATTTGTTAAAATTAATATTGGAGATTTCTTAATAATGGAATGGATTTCACAAAAAGAAGACGTTTTGGTAACGTCGGAAAGAACTGCTTATATATCCAAAGAAGCTTCACCTAAGCAGTTAGCCAAAGTTTTACGGCATGTGTTGAAAGTGAATGATATACTAAACATAATAAATGAAAAAAAATCTGATAGAATTCATGGTTCATATGTTCTCAATCATCAAAATGTCGTTATTTCAGTTATTAATCCGAATCCTAACAAAATTGATGTTAAATGGAATGTGAAAGAAGCAGTTCAACTTTACTTAGAACCTCTTTTAAAATATATTAATCCTATTTCAAAGTTTACATTAAAAACTCAGTTCAAATATCAAATATCTCTTGATTTGCCGTTAAAACATGTCAAAGACGAATCTAAAACTGGAAGACACTACGGGTTATCAGAAGCAGATTTACCACATATAATAACTTCAGTGGAAAAAAATTTGGGTGAGTACACATCATTCCACTTGGCATCGCATACATATTTAAATTCTAACAAATTTAGTTTAGATGCTTAATATACATATGTACATGTAAGTATCTATTGCTTAAACAATAAAAACAGTGATTTTACCTATATTGTAAAAATAACAGTGTACCTATATTGTAAAAATTTTATTTTTTTTTTTCGGATTATTCTGATAGACTTCAAGTAAAATAAAAAAGCTTTATTGTTCAGTTTAAAATGAAAAACACCAAATAAAATATTTAGTTGAATTTTTTAAAAAGAACGATCTTAGTAAAAATTAATATTAAATTCGGCATTGTTTTCTTAATTCAGTACTAACAATATTTAATAAAATTTATTTATTTCCAGGTTTTATTACTTCGGATAATCCAGTTATAAATTTGGTCATATATATTTCCCCATGTGAAACATCACCTATATATATATATCAACGACATGAGTCCATAAATTTATCTGTTAAAAACTCTTCTGTTCAATCATTTATTTCTCCTAAATGGGGTTCCGTAGCCATATACAACCCCCCATTAGCTGTATGTGAAAAGTATGAAGAAAATTCTCAAAGAACTAAATTTAATGTTAATTCTAAGGATGTGATGCAGTCCCTACTGTTTCAATTACAAAACTATTACGAAATAAATTTGAATCCACATATTGAAGGAGTTAAAATTATAGAAACCCAATCATTATATCCACATGAATGGCAGTATGATGGTTATATTCGCCGGATTGTTGTCAGTGAAATCTTAACGGCAATAAGAACTTTACAATCTTTAATTCAACTATTAAATAATATCAACTACATCGTTATTAATGACGATGTAGGCGTATCAATAAACAAAGCTTATGAAAATGTTATTAAGGCTAAAGAATTTTTAATTAATGGAAACTTGACGAAAGCGGCAAAATATGCTCATGAAAGTTACGTGTTTTCGGAACGAGCCTTCTTTGATGCTAGCTTGTTAGCTCAGCTCTATTTTCCTGACGAACAAAAATACGCAATTTACATACCCTTGTTTTTACCTATTATGGTTCCAGTAGTCACATCATCTGTAATGATCTTCAAGTGGTATACGAAGGGAAGCTGAATAACGTATTAAATAATTAGAATTAATTAGAATTAAGAGATACTCGCTATTTAATATATTGAAGTTAAAATAAAGTATTCTGTTGTATAAAATAATCCGTACTTACATGGAATTGCTTTAAAAATTCATACATAATTTAATACAAATGCCTTTTTGGTTACTACTTCTTTTCCTATTTAATAACAGATGTTTCTAAATTATGAAATTTTTTATGGATTTCTTTCGATTCTTTCAAAAATTTCTTAAATATATTATTTCCATTAATGAAATTTTTTTCTCAAAACTGAATTCTTTGCAAAATTTCTTACCAAAAACTTCAAATATATTTCAAACTTCATTATGTACAAAATATAAATTTCAAGTATATTTTACTGAATAATTACATTATGTATTCAAATTTTCTTATAGGCCCTGTTAACTTTTGAGTCTGAATTTCGATGTAATTCATGGCATATATACCTACCTACATCAATCAATTTCTCTATATCAACTCCGGTTTCAACACCCATTCCATTCAGCATGTATACAACATCTTCGGTTGCTGCGTTTCCTGAAGCTCCTTTTGCATATGGACAACCACCTAAACCAGAAACCGAAGCATCAACGACCGATATGCCGTATTCCAATGACTTTAATATATTTGGTAAAGCTTGTCCATATGTATCGTGATAATGTACAGCAATTTGGTCAACATCAGCTGCTTTTAAAACTACATCTAGTAGTTTTTTTATTGAACCTGGCGTTCCAACACCAATTGTATCTCCTAAAGATATTTCATAACATCCCATGTCTAAAAACTTTTCAACAATTTTGGCAACTTTAATAGGGGAAATAGGTCCTTCGTAAGGACATCCAACAACGGTAGATATATATCCACGTACTTTAATTTTTTTTTCCAATGCAGCTTTCAAAATAGGACGAAAATTATCAATACTTTGCGTTACTGTGCAATTTATATTTTTTTTTGAAAAAGATTCAGATGCTGCTCCAAAAATTGAAATTTCCTCAGCACCAGCGCACACAGCAGCTTCAAATCCCTTTAAATTTGGAGTTAGTACTGGATATGAAACACCGGGATACTTAATTATGTTTTTTAATATCTCCGAATTATCACTCATTTGAGGTACCCATTTTGGACTAACAAACGATGTAACCTCTATTGTTTTTAAACCTGCTGCAGATAAACCATTAATAAGATTTATTTTTACCGAAGTTGGAACAATTTGTTTTTCATTTTGTAGTCCGTCTCTTGGTCCAACTTCAACTATACGCACATCGCATGGAATACTTCCAGACTAGAATTTGATACTTGTTTAATAACTTAAATTTAAATCATGCGCACATGGTACCATTAATGTACAACATTTCCTAGAACTTTTTAAATTTATTGTACAAAATTTTTTTAATAATTGAATCATATTATTTTCAGATTTGAAATCTAAACTTTGAGTTTAAAAGGTATAACATGAAGTACGTATGTATTTATTTCACGGCTGACGACAATACTTATAATGATTTTTTGTAATGTCAAGATTCATTTAATTCGCAAGAATATTTTTATTGCTACAACTCTCAATATAGGCGATATAAAACATTCGACGAAAATCGCAATAGCGACATCTACAATCAGAAGTTTAAACTTAAAATTAAAATAACAATTGAAGACACCAGTAAATTAAGGTGTCAACTACGCTTTTTGAGATTTCGAGTAAATTAACCTTCCTCCAAAGCAAAATAATTAAAAAGTGTGACATAATACCTTTTGAAGACAACTTATCTTAAAGTTATCTAAGTGAGACAAGTTATCAAGAGAAGACAAGTTACCTAAGTGAGTTTTTAAAAAAAACGGGTTTTTGAGATTAACATATAAAACATCTATTTATGCAATAAACCCATTTACGTAAAAACGTTCAACTCATTTTCGTAAATTTATTATGCTTCGTATAATAAATAACGAAACAAAATATACCGTGTTGAATTCCACATGTCTACTTTATATACGCCAAAATCCAAGATGAACAGCCTAATCGCGTATTTCGCTTTTTCATCTCATTTTTTATTCACTTTAAATCAGAATTCTCTATTATTATAATCCATTATAATGTTGTTCAATAAGATTACTCTATTTTTCAGTTGGATTTTTGCATTTTTTCTCAAAATATCATTTAACGTCTCACTAATGTCTTTATATCTAACAAGTCTCAATACTCAATTTTTTTTACGAAATATTACGAATTTTTGGCTTCGTTGCTGGTTTTTTCTTTAAGTGCCACCAGCGTTCCCACTTGGATACAATTGTATCCATTTGGATACATTTTTGCTTTAAATTTGAGCTTGGATACAAAGATAATCAAATCTGCTAAAATGCCGAAATTGGCTACATTTTAAAATTTTGCTGAAATATGGATACATTTTTTTTCAAACACTAAATAAATATTACAAAACAGTTAAAATGCTGCTAATATTAAATCGCGAAGTTGCTTTATCATCAATAAATGTTATTTGCTGGCTTTTCTAAACAGGTTTCCGAATTTTTTAAAATTTGTCCGTTTTCATGGTCAATCGTCTTTACCGCATAGTTCAACAACTACAGAAGGCATATATGCATATGTTTTTTCTGACCTTAACTTTCACATTTAAAATATAATAGAAGTTGTATGTGATTTCTTAAAGAATTTAGTATAAATAACAAAACTCATATTGTGGAATAAAGCAAATTAATATTAATTATGGGTTAATTTGTACAAAATAAGACGAATTATTATAATAATGCTATTTTACGAGGTTGGATGCATTTTGGATACATTTTTTTCTCGAAATTGGATACATTTTGTTTTTTCCGAGTGGGAACACTGAGTGCCACTGATCATGTCATATTTTTTATTATTTTTTTCTTTTTTTTACGTAAAAAAGAGTTTAATATTTTAAAAAATCTCAGGATATTATACACATTTTTTTAAAAGCTTCCCATTTAAATTCTATTGCACGAAAAAGAAAGAAAGGTAGGAGGAAAGAAAAAATGATAAAAAATTTCAAATTTATATTTCAGTATGGTTTCAAATGTTAATGAGGAAGAATGTATGATTTTTCATGCACATTTTGTATTTCCCAATAAGTTGAGTAGTGTCGGCTAACAAAGATGTTAATAAAAGTAATATAGGTTGACACATTTCAACAATTTGAATTATCTCATTTCGGTTATTTATACGTTACTTATAAAATTGTTTCAAATAATTTCAGCTAGTTTTTAAGTTATTAAAAATAAATATGTATGTATATACCCACTTCCAATAAATTTTTTTTAAATAATTATTTTAAAACTATTTCAAACATGTTATATTGAGTGCTTCAAAAATTTTGCTGTGTTCTTTTTTCATATTTTATTAGCAGGTAAACAAGAGCAATCTATTTATAAAATGTCCCTGCATGTGTATGTATGACCTATCTTAATTCTAAACGGAAAGAATATTACATAAAGAACAAAAATTTTAAAATACCTGTTATTTTACAGTCGGAATTTTTGAGTCATTTGGTAAAATACCATTTATTTCAAAAATAGAAAAATATTCAAATCCGGTCATAAAAATAAATCATTGTTTTTTCCAAACATTTTAAATATTTTTTTTTCTTAGGTAATTGATATAAATGATAGTAAGTTTTTAATATTTTTTTCAAATAAAAATAGAGATAAAATTTTGAAGTTTATATAAAATTTGTATTTAACAAATAATATTTGATTGTATTTTAGATATTATTTTCTAATTCCCTCTCCAAATTTTTTCTTTAATATGTATTTATATCAATATTTAATAATTATCTTTCATTAATTATATTTTCAACTTGACACCACAGTTACTTCCCATATCTCGAGTTAACTTACCCTATGAGAAAAAAAAGCTGTTCACTTAAAAATAATGAAATGCTTTCAGTAACATATAAAACGTTGAAGGCGAAGGATGTGCTTGTTGTTTTTCCGCTTTTTTTAAATTTTAAAATAATTATCAATGAAAATATTAATATATTTTTTTGATTTTTCGAATATATTTTCTAAATTTTACCTGCTTTATAACAAGTGTGAATTTATTTTAATATGTCTTCTCAAAAAATAGCCACTTCGATTTAAAAAAACCCATACAAAATAAGGTCGTGCTTTTAAGTTTCTCTCTGAGCATTGGGACTTGTTAGATATAAAGACATTAGTGAATCTAATAAGAATAGAGTAGTTTTTTTACTCAGCGAAAGTGAGATCGTTATTAGGTTCCCTCACAAGACCGTATTTAATTCTAATTCAGTTATCTTAGTAAAAAAATGATATGGTTTGTCTCTTGAGAATGTTGTTTTTCATAGTTTTTACTTAATTTTTAAATAAATTGTATTATTTTAATATACTTTTTGAATTTGTCAAAAAAATAATCTATATATTAAAATTTAACTGAGCTTTTACAATTTTTCTTGGAGAGACTTACCATATATTTCGTAGAATATGACATTTATCAAATTACATACATACTTTGTTTTGTAGATATGGCTCGCTGAGAACCTGCTAGCTGCCAAATGTCAATTAATGTTCAAATGTCATAAGAAAAGGCTATCTAGTGGGAAATTCTGTTTTTAAAGAAGTTTGACGTCAAAAACAAAGAAGAAATGGAACAAGAATAAGAAAATTCCAAAACACTCAAGCTATAATTTTTAAATTTTCTACTGTAAAACAAAATGTTTAAATTAAAAAAGCGAGCTTTTCTTTAAATACTCACTTAAATATTTTTAACTTTTACAGAGTTATTTTGGTTAATTCGAAGTATATGTTTATGCCTCTAAAGTTGGTTACGCATCTTTATATTCCTGAAACGTGTGAATTACAAACATCTATTTTGTATTATTTAAGAATCATTTGAAAAAAACACAAGAAAATGCCAAGGAAACCAAGTAACGAAATTTTGCAAGGGGATATGAATAAGTGGGTTAATGATGCTTTGAATTATATTGAAGGCTCTGATGTCGACTCAAATAAATCCTTAAAAAACGTTGTTTCTAATAGTCTAAATAAACCCATCGATGTGAAAAAAGCGGCAAAAAAGGCTAAACAGAAATTAAAAAAAGAAGAAAAAAGGCTTTTGTTTCAATTGAGAGAGCTTCGCGAACAATTTCATAGTATTTATTTTAAAGAATTTGAAGCAAAAAATGAACTGAGAGACTTTAAAAGCACAAAAAAACAAGATAAAAGGAAAATTTTGGCTGTAGAAACCACGATAAAAAAGTTAAAAAAAACAAAGTTAAAAATAGAAGCTAATATCCTGGAATTAATTTGTAGTTTGAAAACTATCAATCCAAATTTTAAGTTTGCTTATCTTCCCACAAAAGAAGAACAGCAGCAATATGTAGAAGCAGTGAAGGTAAATACAGAAAAAGAAGAAAAATCGAAAAATCGAGTAACATCTAAAAACCCTACGCAATTAGAAACTGATCCAACAATACTCCGGGCAACAGTTTTAAATTCGGATATTTCAGGATTCTCTCCGTTGTATTCAACAAGTCCGCGATATTTTCCTAATTCTATTTCCGATGCACCAGAAAACGAAAATGCAGAGCCGAGTAAAGATTTATCAGAGAGGATTGTTACAATACGAAGAGTATATTTGCCAGACAGCGAAGCTCAAGTAACTGTTACTGCCAAGGGGAAATCGCCAGATCAAGATAAATTATTATATACGTTTGTAAATGGTCAATTGTTGCCTGCTAATAAAACCAGTCAAACAAAAGTGAACAAAAAAAAGGAAACTGGGACACCAAGACAGTCATACCAATGTATATATTAGTATTCGGTTTACCATTAACATTCGGTTTCGCAACTAACTTTTCTTCTTTTTTAGGTTACAATCAACTTCAACACATAGAAAAAATAGATCCAAAACTAAACAAAACAAGTTGCCATTTGAAAGGTCAAATTTCCCAATACGATTTTGAAACAGTCTGTTCAAATAATTTAAGTAAGGACCAAACAGACTCCAAAGAAGCTAGTAATAAAAAAGGAAAAAATATTAAGTGTGAAATTGAGTCATTTAAAACCACAAAAAATTTGAAAACGGTAAAAGAAGAGCATCAAGAAAATATTGTACAACAAAAACAAAAGAAAAAAAAATCTAAAAAGAAAAAGGACTTGAACAGCGATTCCGTCATTGAATCAACTAGTAAACAAATTACTTCCAACGAAAATACTGATTTGAAAAATAGTTTAATTGAGCCATTTAAATTGAATTTCGGAAAAGAAAATGTATTGACATTAGTAAAATTAAATGGATCTGATAATGTAGGAGCTTTTCACGATTGTGAACTAAATCAAGAGCAATCAAGCAAAATCAATCAGAATTTTGGTGCAATGGGGTGTGACTACAATAATCACGTTCAATATAAATTTAATAATAGCTTGGAAAATTTATGTCCTGCCATTAAAAGTCTTTCTTTAAATTCTAATAATTTTCCAAATTCGTATTGTAAATCTGAGAACCCAAGTATTATGGAGCAATTAAAGCAAGGTGTAAATGTCGAAAACTTAAAATTACCCCCAGGAATATCTTTGACGAAAGTTGATCCAATTACGTCTCAAGCTCTACGTGTAAAACAAAACTCAATTCAAAAATTGTCGCAACAAATTAATGACATAAAAATTAATCCGTCATCTGTAAATAATTTTTCACCTATTTATCCCAATATTGAAATTACCCCACATTTTATAAATCATGATCCGAGCGGTCTTATAATGATTGATACGAACCATAGTAATTTATATAAGCGACCAGAACGATGTACTCAAATCAAACAAGATACAAATAAACATTTACCCACTACATATCAAACTGATGAACAAAAAAATCAGGAAAAATCCAAAATTAAAACAAAAAAGAAAAACAGAAAAAATAAAGTTAAACAAAATACGCAAGAATCTAATTTTATAACATTAAAAAATCCTGTGTTTAATAATTTAACTCGAATGGATGTACCTCCGGAATTTTTATGTCAAACACTGAATGATGATCAACCAGCTTTAATAACAAAAAATGAAAACGGTATGTTTACTATACGGAATACAGCTCTTCAAAATAATTTCTTAGGAAGATATCCGTATGCAGGACCTGGTGGAATATTAATACCAACAAAAACGTCACCATCAATTCCAAAGTCAGAATGTAAAGTAGGACATTTGCTTGAAAACAGCTGTGATACTAGAAAAATCAATTATAGTTATCCTTTTAATAGGTATATCGAAAGATCATCTGAAGGTAACAAAAATTTATGTCTAGCCCACAATTGTGCAATTTTTCTTTTTTAGATCATGTTTGCGAATCAAGTGGATATTGAAATCTTACATTACCAGATTGTCGTTTTTTTCCCACTTTAACAGGCACCTTGCAATCTTAAGAAGTACAAGCATAGTCTTTAACTGAAGCTTGATTTTACTGGATAGTAAATATTTTATTGAAAGTGTCAGTATCAGCGTAAACTTAGAAATTCATCAAAATGTATATACTTATCAATTCAACTTATTTTGACGCAAAAATTTTTTTTTAAATTTAAATAAGATTTCAGTTGGACATGTACAATAAAACCTTTTAGAAAAACCTAACCTATTTTCTTTGTTGTTTTATTAGACAATTTCTACTTTTAACAAGCACAAGTTTAGCCTTTGACTTGAACCTGATATTACTGAAAACGCAATTTTTTTTTGTAAAATGCCATTTTTAAATGTTTAAAAAATCATGAAAATATATTGAAAATAAATTTTCTTGGGTTTTTTGCAAATTACGTACTAAATATCAAGAGTACGTTATTACGTAAAATAAATATACATATTTTGGAAATCGGACAAGGTTGCCAACACTTAAGCCTAAGAACAATGCGTATACATATAATTTATACATATTTAACTCTCGAAATTTGATGTTTTAAATTAATAGAATTTAAAATGTATTATATAATATATGCTAATCAATTATTAATGGATTAAGGTAAATATGCGTGCTTATTACTCTGGATCTTTCTTGTTCTACTAATCTTTTCTCGGGTTAAGAAGAAAAAAATATGTAAACAGATAGTGTAAGAACATAATTCAGAACACATATGTTCTCTAGTTCAATTTATGTATGAAGATATACATATATATTTGTGATGGTTATTATTACCATTTTACCCAATCCTCCATATTCCATGCAATGTACGTACATATGTACATTGCATGTTGAATTTTTCGTTATTTTGGCATTCTACAACCCCTGCAAATGAGTTTTGTAAATACATACCGCCAACTACTTTTGCTCTGCTTTTTATCTTCTTTTTCAATTATTTCCTTGGAAATAAATACAAAAATAATATAGCTAAGCACATACCCTTTTTTACATATCCGAATTTTGTAATTTATTACTGTGTATCAAACTTAAAAGCTATTTTATACAAATTTGAAATTTTTATATTTTTTCACGATTTTATAAATACTTATACACTAAAATATGAATTTTTAAGCCGAATTCGGAAACAGTTATATAAAATTCATATACTTGTAATTAACAATTTTCTAATTTGTTTTAAAACTTACAATGAGTTTTTCAGTAAAGCTCGTTTATACCTCGTCAGTTTAATTTTTACCACGACTATACTATGCTGAAACGATTATAATGAATTTGATTCGAGCGTATTAATATTGAAACTAACGTTACATATGAAATTGCTAAGATAATAAAAATAAAAATTTCTCTTTCATTTAAAAAACATTATTGCAAAAATAAACATTACGATTATAAAATTTATAAATAAAAGTGTTGTTAAAGTAGAAAAATTAAAAAATAGGGAACATTAACGCTTCACCAATTTTATGACAACATTAAAGCAGATAAGTTCCTTTGTAATATAGTATCTTTAACAGAATTAAAAACAATTTGAATATTCTCTGTGTCAACAGCATTTGTATAGTGATGATAAATTATGCTTTTTGTATTTCGACGGACGTTTAAAAACATTTGCAAGATAAAATTTCGTACATCTAATATTGAATGAGGGTTTCCTGTAAATTCTGGATGGTACGAACGTATATCAGTCTCAGGGTTTTTCACTTTTTCTTCCAATAAATCCGACTTATTCAAAAATAATATTATCGAAATACCATTAAAAGTGCTATTATTTACAATGGTATCAAAAATATTTTTCGATTCTTCCAAACGGTTAGTTTTCCTTATGGAGAAATAATATTTAAATTAATTTCTGATATACATAAATATTATTTACTTTACCTATCTTCAGCTAAAACTTGATCAAATTCTGAGGATGAAACTAAAAATATAATTGAAGTTACTGAATTATCGAAGCATTTTGTCCACTTCTGTCGCTGGGTGCGCTGCCCACCAACATCAACAAAAACAAACGGAATGTTCTGAATGCAAATAGATAAACATTAAATAAATTAGGAGTTTTATGAAAATATAATAAAAACAACTTTTGCCTTAGATTTACTTGCGGCGAATAAAATTTGTTATACATATTTTAACCAACAACACATACTGACCTGTATTCTAATCATGAACTCATAAACACCCTTCGTGGCCTTACGACAACGAAGAATGTCTTTTTGGGATGGTACATAATCCAGCCTAGCTATACGATTTACTTCATCAAAGAAATAACTAACCGAATCACTCTAATTAAAGAAATAAATTTAAATAAATTCGTTATACGCATTCATATATATAAAATACGCATCTTACAATTTGAAACTCTCTTCGCCTATCATAAGCTGTTTTGATACCTTTGTCATACCACAATGTACGAACAACTGGAGCATATTCTATAAATTGTTCTGTACTTAAGCCAGGGCCACAGTACAATAGTTTAACTCGTTCAGCAGCCTTTTCTGTTATCTGATGTTCCAAAGGGATTTCTAATTTTTCCCTCGCGTCGACTAGAACTTGCATCCCTAAATAAAATTACATTGAATCAAAGGCATTATAATTACATTTTTAAAGTCTTTCATCAAATTCAATTAAATTTGTAATAAAAAAGTTAGTTACTGTTTTATGAAATGAATTTATAATGGCTCATATTTTAATGTTGTTCGTCATTTCATTAATAAAATAGATTCCGAAAAGAATGAAAAAATAATTATCAGAATATGGTCGCGTAACATATTAAAAAAAGGAGTTTGTAAACCTTTACAGATTTTGTTCTAATTTTTTAAAAAATATTTACACGAAATTTTGGGTCTCAAAAAGGGCGTAGAACAAAATATTAAAAAAGTCTTGAAAAACTCTTAGCAGGAGATGGCTACTTTTTACTAAACGTGTGCACAACTGTACACATGTTTAGTAAAAAGTATCTTATTATAAAATTTTTTCTCTGACTAACCGCTATTCTTTCTTTGATGGATTGAGAACTCTTTGTTCTTCTTTTAATTTTTTTGTTGCATTATTTTTATTAATTTAACTTACCCCTTACAATATTTTGATATATTACATGTTGATATTCTCTTACTAACTCTGGTTCAAAATTTATTCCGTGGATGATTCGCATTTGTTTTAAAAATGTTGATTTGCCTGACTCACCTGCACCTAATAGTAAAAGTTTAACCTAAAAATATTTCAGAATATAATATGTTGTATGCTTGTACGTACACGATTTTCAATTTTTAATAAAAGCTAACAAATTAAATTTAAAAAAATTTTATTATATAAAATTATTTGAAATTTTTAATATTTTCTGTTATTTTTTAAGTGGTAGCAATGGAATTTCTAGTAAAAACAAATTTGCACATAATCCCATTCCAACAATATGATGAATTTATTTTTCATTTAATGCCGAATCAAAAAACAAAATTGGCTACATCTAATTTACACATTATAATTTAATATTATGAGACCCTTAACCTTAGTGAAAGGATTCAAAAAATTCAATAACCAGTTCATTGCTCAATTTTGATATTGAGACTTATTTTAGCGATATTATTATAGGATATATGTAAATTGTTTACATGAAGTTTGTTTTGTTTGAAGGTTGCAATAGATGTGGAGACATAAATGATTTAAGTGAAACGTTGTTTTTCCTTAAATTTTCATATGTTTATTACTAGTTAATTTAATTCATTTAATTACAAAATTGATGTACTTTATGCTATCATTAAAAGTTGTTTAAAAATTTTAACAAAAAAATCTATTTAAAATTAATCAAAAAAATCTATTATTTGCGCCTGTTGGCGATATGCTTAATGCTTGATCTAAGCAATAGATGTCTGATATAAAAAGTTTTAACTTATTTTAAAATACTATTTATGTATATGAAGAAATAAGATATGTTACCAATTAATATTAAAAAATGTATTACAAATACGAAGAAATTATGGAAAATTATAAAATACTTTTCGTGGTACGCATTAACTTACTAGTAGCTCCAATTATAGCAATAAAAAAATTACAATTATTATAGTCTAGCATGGCTTTTCAACGTCATTAAATTTGAATTTCAGAAATCACAAAATAAGATGTTGTAAGTAAGATGCACAACATTAGAAACAATATTGCGCGTGGTTATTGCGATATCTGTTTTTAATTTAAAGAACTTTTAAAGAAAATAAACTTGATTTGATCTCTTGGTTTTTAATAATTGCATAAAAAATGCTGACATTTCTGTAGAGTTAAAAATTATTCGAATCACGCCTGCATGATATAGTGACGAACATCGGATCTAATTTAAATTTTAAATTTTTAAAATAATTGCATTGAATTTATTTAACTGAGGAAAATTTATTTGAATTATTTAGATTAGTTTTAAAATTTGTAAATCTCGCAATACTTTCTCTGATTTTGTTATCCATTGTAGCCTTTTACAAGTATAAATTACAATATAAGGGCTATAATCAATTAAAACATATTAAGTAAATAAAAGCAAAAGCAAAATAATAATTGTTTTTATTAAAACTACTTTTTAACTGGTTATTAATACAGGTGATATCTATAAAAAAATTTGATAAATTCATAGTCACACAAGAACTACACAACAAAATATAAAGTGTGCATTCTGAAAGATAAAAAGTTGACACATCTGTAGGTCCACATGACACATTATCCAGGTATTATTTCCTCATATTGAGGTCGCCGGAATGCAACTGCTTAGAATTATCTTCCTCATATAAATTGTTTTATAAACAATTTATGTGGGGAAGATATAAACAAGATATATATATGAAGTTTTATAAACAATTTAAGGATTTCCTTAAACAAAAAAAGTTTGATCAAACCTTTTGTTTACGGCATATTGCTCTTCAGCAATAAAAATTTACACATTGTTTACATATTTTGTGTACGAAAGTTAAAACTTTCTATTAAAATAAATGATAATATGTGCCATATATCTTTGTAAAATATATTGATCGGGAAAATTATAGAATAGTATATGTATATACTTATAGAAAATATGTAATCCTAATCATCATTTTGGAGGAGAAGTACCTAGGAACCCACACCTAGGTACTTAAAAAATACAACATTATATTATATTTGTAATAAAGCAAGCATATTATGTTGTAATACTTATGTTATTTTATTTTAATTAATTCTAGTATTGAAGTAAATTTTTAATAAGTCATAGTTTCAACCAAAATGTAAGATACAATGTACAAAAAATAAAATTTGATGCCTTCTTCTCTGACTCCCATAAGTGTTATCGACACCTTAAGGAGTTGTTGAAAACCTATTACCCACACACAAATTTTTAGTTAAGATTAAAATATTTGGTAAAAAAATCATTTCCAAAGAAAGTATGCACTTACTTAGATAGGTAACTGAGGTCATTGTTCAGTTTAAGAGGATATTTCAAGCTGTATACTTTCCAAAGAAAGTATGCACTTACTTAGATAGTTAACTGACGTCATTGTTCAGTTTAAGAGGATATTTCAAGCTGTATACTTTCCAAAGAAAGTATGCACTTACTTAGATAGTTAACTGACGTCACTGTTCAGTTTAAGAGGATATTTCAAGCTGTATTGACTGTAATTGAAGGAATTTCGTGTAAAACAAATTCGGGAGTCTGTATGGAGATATCGCATGAATATATTTCTTAAACTATTTTTCTATTCAGTTAGTAGGTGTCATAAAATTTTACTTAATTATCTTGCTATAGCAAGCCTATTTACTTTATAATAGTGTATTAATGTGTATGTAATGTTATTTAAAGGTAGGTTCGATTCGTCCTGAATTTATCAGAAACTATTTGTATTTTAACCTTTTCATCGACAATATGTACGCAAATATTTATGTAGGTAGTAAGTTATTTAATCATGAGATAGCTCATAGTCACATACTTGTTGTTGATATTTGATCTGCGCAAGTGAAGAACACATATCTTTTCTCCATTATAACACTACATCCTATTCATATTAGTTAGCATTCTATGAGGTAACATATCATATATTATAATATGTAAGTATATTGTATGAATTCCGTACGATAACATATCACACTTACTGTAAATTTTTTACTATAGACTGTAATATGTTGTTTTTACATACATAGGTACATTAGTATACATATCAAGAAAGAAAGATCTATATTTTATCTTTCGAAATTTTTATTTTTAGTTGTAATTTGTCTAAAACAACTTAATGAACTCACCTGTCTTGCGATCAGTTGTTTATCTTTTGCCAGAAATTTATCAATTTCCCGAGATTTGTACCTTTGTTCTACTTCCTCAGGATTAACACGCAGATTTAAAAAACAATTGACTAAATCTCCACAACATTTCAAACACGAAACACGAGAGTGACCTCTATTATGCCGCAAATTCAATGAAGTGCTAGGAGAAGTGATGTCGTAGCTACCATTATTTCCTGTTTCATAAGTGTTCATGTTATAATTATTGTCTTACACTGACATAAAATCTTTTAGTCAACTTCTTTGCATTACTTTTTTTCATTAATGAACATATTAATAAAGACAATCATTTAAAAAATTAACTTTTTATAGGCATTTGTAAACTTTCTTGAATTTCCTAATTTTAGAGAAAATCACGAAACAAACATTTTTATTAAAAATACATGCTAAAGTACTGAAACTAGAAGAATATTATTGCTTAAGTTTTTAGTTAAATTGTACTTTGAATTAAATCATTAACAAATAAATGAGAAAAAAAACTGTTTTAAAAGTTCTCCCGTAAAAAAAAACTACATTTTCCTTTGTTTTTAAAAAAAAAAATAGCTATTTGTCACTTTTCCTTTAATTTCAAAATTTTCAGAATATTTTCTACCAAAATAAATTTATTAAATCGAACAGTTTGAATGACAGCAAAATAAAATTTGATTAATAACTCTTTTTTGACATTTACTTTATTGTACCCTAAAAACAAAACTGCGGTCAATTGAAAATGCTAAAAGAACATACGATATAAAATAACACAAACGGTTGACAGTCATTTCGGTTGACGGTCACTTCTCATAAAACGTTTACAGCCACCTTCCACAAAATCACCTTCAGTCCATTAAAGCCAAATAGACTGAATGGAGTTTTTATGGGGAGGAACCGTTAACTAGAACGACGCTTTACAGTCACTTCCCACATAATCACCATTCAGTCCGCTAAAGCCAAATGGGCTGAATGAAATTTTTGTGGGAAGTGACCGTCAACTTAAAGCTCATTTAAGCTCTGGCTCTGATGAGCACATTAAATATTTTCAAACTCTATTACGATTGCCCCTTCATAATCTTATTTGGAACCAAATTTACTTAAAATCAAGTTTTTGCACGGGATTTTTGTGAAACATACATAAGTACCTTTAGTGTGAGAATAAACTTCTTTCTATAAATTTGTTAACTTTTTCTTTAAAAATTAATTCCTTTATAACAAAAAATTTATTAAATGACCAGGTGATCTTTAAAGGAATTTCCAATACGAAAAAACCACATGTAAAGGCTTTGCGCTTTTAATTTTTGTGATAAATAATAATTAAACGAAATCAACATTCTCTTTGGTTTTTGTTAAGACCAATCTATCGTTTAATTCTTTACTTCGTCAATCAGAATTTTTTAAATTATTTAAACTTCTTAAAATCATTCATTTTCATATAAGGCGCTGAAGCAATTATTGAGATAAATCATTAAAAAATACATAGGTTGTGAATACAAAAGACAAGAAACAGTAGATTGTACTTTCCTCTTTCATCCTATAAAAACACCCGATATTGACTTTATTTTCTAACTGATTTTAAAGTTCTTTTTATAATTTATAATATTTATATTTTTGTAATAAGTTATTTTATAATCAATAATATAAAGTGAAGCATAATAGTGTAGGTAACATTTTTTTTTCGTACACACGGTTTGAAAAATCAAATTTTTAAATTTTGATTATCGTAAAATTTTAAATTATTTATTCAGAAGTTGAATTAATATTTTGATGTATGTGTTATTATACTACGAATTCTGTTTTTGTAATTAAACTTATGCTTATTATTCTGCTTTTCATAAGAAATTTGTAAACCATATAAATATTTAGCGTTTTTAGCAGTTGTTATCAGTAAGAACATTTTACCGAATAAAATTGCAGTTGACTTAAGTTTCCTCAATATTCCATTTTAAATTTTAATTTTTGTTATAAAATTTGGAACTATGAACACACTATGAATTTTTGGCTTGACAACTTCTTATTTGTGTATACAGAAAAACGTGGTAATCTTAATTATATTCCCATTTTTTATCATTATATCCTAATATCAACCTGCCAGCAATGAAATTGATTAAACGTGTAATATATTTTAAAAAATATTATATACATAATTTTTATTTTACTAAGGATTTACTTATTTATTAAATTCTTGTTAAATCATTTTCTTTAAATCAACTTTCATTGTATTTCACTTTCACTATTATTGAATATATTCTATATTTGAATATAGAACATATTCAAATATTCTATATAATAATATATAGAATATATTATTAATGATGTACAAATTATTGTGTATTATATATGTATATATTAATACACAATATTATAAATGAAAGTTGATGCAAATTAATATTCATAGTATAAATACTATTCAACGTGTTTAACTCTACTTAGTGCGATGTAAGATTTTTCGCTTTCCAAATCATGATAACCAACTGGACCCATCTCGCAGTCAGCACAAATAAGAAATTTAGCTTTACTCACAGACTTGGAAAATCCAATATTTTCGAATGTAAACATGTCATCTACCACCCAAAAATGTATTAATTCTTCTGTTTCTATGTTATCAATATTTATTTTATTTTTTTGATGCATAAGTGGCAGCTTGAACTAATAAATAACGAATTCTCAATATAATTTGAATTAAATATTACCTATGAAAAAATTACCTCATTTTTTATATAGAAAGCTGATAAAGATTTCAATATCACACAGTTACAAAATTGACACCTGATATACTTAATATTTTTATTGTTATCGTTTACTTCATTTAATAAGCAATCTTCCGTCATTTTTGGTTTAAACAAAAGTTTGCGAAATTTTAAACAATATTGCATACACTTTTTAAGTTACAAATGAACTACAAAATTCAAAAAAGCAATTAAAACCATCCAAAAAAAATTAAAAGTTCTTTAAAATTTCATTTATGACGTTTATTGTTTTCAAATCAATTTTAAAAAAATATTATGACAGTATATGACAACAAAAGCAAACTTTAATCAAGGTCTCGATTATCTACAGAAGATATTTAAGTGTTTACATAAAGAATATTTAACAAAAAAGTTGCAACACGAAAATTTTTCGAATGCACTTCAATATCATCAATTTATTAGCTGTCTCCATATTAGTATTTTTTCTACAAATTTTTATTTTTAAAATTGCTTTATCTCCATACTGTTTATTAAAAAACAGATTCTTTTTTGTATATATGTATATTTGAAATAAAATTTTGAAGAGAGAAAAATATAAAATAAGATCGTATGAAATCTGTATGGAAAGTAGGCAACTATTTAAAAATAAGAAAAGCAGTACCTAGATTTTTCTTCCATTATAGAAACGGGTCCATAATTTTTTTTCTTTTATTTGTATAATTTTGGTTCAAAGGATTGTGCAACATAAAATATTTTTGTAGTTCCCTTATAAGTATCAACGTTTCATTTTTTTTCTAACTGTCCATATTTTCGATTTAGGATTGGTATAATGTACGTCTATTATACATTTTTTAACTTCTTTTAAAATAAAATTTTATCTTCTAAAACTATAATTTCTACTTATATTATTCTTTGGATTGCTATAAAAAAAATATTTTTGTGTTGCTTTTTCGCTTGACATTGCACTCTTGCTAGATGTGAGTCGTTCAAAATCCAATAAATGAATTACAGAAAAACATAAACAGAAAAAGTTTTTTTTGCATTAGTATATTCGAACGATAACCTCAAAAATTTTTGATTTAAAAAAGAAGACAGAAATTTTATAAAAGTACAAACTTAGCAAGTGGGAAAGAGAACGAAAATTAGTATGAAAATGAAGGAGAATACTAACAAATTATAAATAAAAAAAAAAAACAATGAAGTCAAATATTTCCTAATTGTCTCTTACTTTGCTCCGAGTATTGTCAAAATCGTAACAGGAGCGCATTTATTTTATTTTCTTATCTGGCCTTTATCATTAAATTTGTAAGAAAGATAACTAAAAATTAAAAGGATAAGTTAAAAAGACCAAATTGAAATATTGTATGAATGCTATATTTTATCAAACACAAACTAATTTTGCTTAGAAAAAAAATCCGGTCCTGGTAAAATTTGTCATTCAAAGTATTTTTAATTTGAAACAAAACAAGAACAGGTGCTTTCTTTTCAAAATTAAAAACTTAATAAAAATTATCAATTACAAATTATGAATTCATCAAAGCACTATTGAATAAATATTTCTTTTCATGTATATGGTGTAAAAAAAAAACTATTTGTTTTTGCAAATGGGAATAACAATTTAGAACTATACACCTTTTTTCTTTTTCAACAGATTTTTTTTTTCACCTGTTATATTTTTTATAAGTTTTTATAAAATAGTGTACTATTTTTAACACTTATTATTAAATGTCTTAAAATTTTTTATTTGCAAACTGCACAAACTGTTTGTAAACAAAATAACAAAATCTTCTTTGTTTACTTTTTATATAGCAACGCGTAATTTTCTAAGAAAAAAAATAACAACATTTGACATTTAATGTTAATTTCAATTTTTACAATCCTCGGAGCAAAGAAAGAGACTTACCTGAAGTTTTTGGCTTTACTATATTCACTATGAGATAGAAAGAAAGATGCTCTCTCTCTTTTAGTATTTCTAGTTCGTTGGGGAATACGACCATTCCGGAAAACGGATTATCATTATTGAAAATGGTCAAAAACTTTAATTCTGCAAACACATACCAAATCCAAATGGCTGAAGAGTTCTTTATGCAATTTTTTGAAACTGAAACGAAAACTAAAAATATTTGATACACTTCAGTGAACAGTTTTTAATGACTCCGATTTAAAAATTTGTGCTCCCAGCTCCTCCTTTTGCATTTTAACTCCGATTTTTTTCCTCAATCAGACCCAAAAACAATAGTGATAATTATTCTTGAAAAAAATTTTCAGTTGAAAAATACAAGTTCTAAATTAAAAAAAAACTTTTTTTGCAATATTTAAAAATTCGTTGACAATAGCTTGACTGACCATATTATGTATATATACCTTTTTCTGCTAATTCAAAAGCCGCTACTTATCCTTTTGTAGTCAAGTTAATAAATTATTCAGTTAAAGTGTCAAATAACCAAACTTGGAAAATTCATCGACGTCAGCAGTTGAAATATGTTTGTATCGAATTTTCTCAATAAACGAATATATTGCAATTTTGACATTTTAATTGAATTCAATCGAGTTATTGTTGAAAACTTGAAGAATTTTTTCAAAGTTACCTCAGTTTAGCGAATTGCATCGCGGCAGCTGGAAAGGTATTTTCTTCTGTTAATTTGATTGAAACTAAATTGAGAAACTCCTTTTATGTTGAAATGGTAAGCATAATTTTAAATTCAAAACAATTATTTAAAAATATTGATGCGAACAGTTACGAATCAAGTTATGATCTTATTTAAACCTTTACTTGAAGTACATATTTTTTTTTATTTAAAGCACATTTTTTGTCAACACCATTAAGGAAATGAATAAGGCTGTAAAAACACATGAGTTTTTATGAGTTTTTTTTTTTTATTTTAAGGTATTTTCTGATCATCATAGCTATAAGACAAAAAAGTATAAGTGTATTTTTTACATGAAACTTATACTTTTTTGTATATTGTATACAAAAAAGTATAAGTTTCATGTAAAAAATATTATTTTTTTAATTCGAATTTGTTTATAATTTTTATTAAAAGTTTTTGCTTTGTTTCTCCTATTTTTTTTTGTATTCGTACGATATTAAATGTTTTTTATGAAATATACTTAGGAGTTGGCTCCACTTTTTCAAAAATGGCTCCCTTTTTTAAATATTTCTGCTCTTCGTTCAAAAAATCAAACGACAGCCCTGCCTCGGATAATTGATTTGCGCAAAAATCAAAATTGCATTGCAGCAAAAATACTTGTGGTGTCAAGAAAAATAAACTAATTTAAACGTTTTATATGTACATATTTTGAAAATTGGAGAAATGGCAAGGAAATTTATTTTTGAAGACGAATATCTTCATAATGATTTCACTTTAGAATATTGTTATGAAAATGTTTTGCATAATCCAATTGGATTAAAAACCGAGGAATTTTTAAATCTAAAATGTTTATTCAATTCGTTTTTGATAAACAATTGTATCTGCAAGCAAGATTGTTTGCAAAACTGCGGTCACAGCCAAAATTACCTATTTTCAGAAGAATACGACGAATTACTTTTGAATAAGGATCGTGTTAGCAGGGATATAATATACGAGTGCTCAGAAAATTGCCAATGTTCAAGTGATTGCGGAAATCGTTTAGTTCAATATGGGCCAAGGGCTGGATTAATTGTTAAGCCTTCAAAAATAATTTCAAATGAAGAAGGACTATTTACATCAAATTGCATACCGGTTGGAGGATTTATCTGCGAATATGCTGGAGAAATATTAACAAGATCAGAAGCCTTGAAAAGAGATAGGTATCAAGAGTCAAACCGGATATTAAACAAATTAGGACAACAAATTTTTAAAAATTATATTATATGTTTGAAGGAAAAACGTTTACAATGTGAGAATGGAGAAGTCTTAGAAACATTTATAGACCCAAGTAAAGTTGGTAATATAGGCCGCTATATAAATCATAGTTGTGATCCTAATTGTGATATAATAAGCGTGCGAATTGATTGTCCTATTCCAAAATTAGGTAAAAAGTTGAATCTCATTTGAATTTAATTAAACAATTGATTTCAGCTGTATTCGCAAAGCGCAACATAAAAGCTATGGAAGAGTTGTTTTTTGATTATGGAGAAGGATTTATAAACGAAGATTCATCTTTTAGTCCAGTCAAATGTTTGTGCAACACTGAAAAGTGTAGAAAAATTCTTCCTGCATTTTGCTATTGAGTATTAATATCCTTATACAATGAAAAAAGTGCTTTTAATTTTTTATCAATTTATATTAGGCAGGAATAAATATATGTGAGATAAAGTTTTTTCAACTTTTGTAAAGTAAAATTTTGTCTTAAAAACTTTTAAAATGTTAAAGCTTTTAAAACATACATATTTTTTTTTTGTTATATTTGTTATTTTTCAAAAACATTTTCATCAACAATTATTTTTTGAAAACTTTTTAATTAAAAACAAAACAAAACGGTTTCACAACATGGTTTTTTTTAAGTTTCCAAAACATAATTTTAAGTTTTTATATAACCAAAAAATGTTTGCTTATGTTTGATAAATATTTTGAAATTTACTTTTACCATCTGTTTATAAAGTTTTTAAATTTTTTCAACTTTTCTATTAACTTTCAATTATCTATTTATAAAATTTAAGTTTTTTCCATTTTTCCGTTTGGTTTATATATTTTTGAACTTTTTTTCTTTTTGCGAGAAATTAAGTCACTGTTTTCTCTTCAAAATTTTTTCAAGTTTTAAAAAGAAAACTTTTATCTTCAAAATTAAGGGTTTTTGATCATATTTTTTGTGCAAAATTTCGACGTAAGATTTTTAAAATTTTTAAATTTTACGTACAAAAATATCTTGAATATTGAGGATTTTTATGTTATTGAAATTTTTGAGAATTGGAATAGGGTGACTCCTATATTGTGGAAAAAAAAGTTTTTAAACCGCTTTTAAAGTTGAGCTCTTAAGCGTTTTTACTAACTTGCCAAAATAATACATAGTTTCAAAATACAATACAGAACGTAATGTTTTATTTTATGATATTGCACGTATTGTTTATTCATGACTTGTCATTTTTGAAATTAATAAATTTTTATTTTAATATTTACAAACAAACTTTTAATATTTACAAACTCATTTACAGCTGTTCTTATTTTTAATCTTGTGGTTTAATATCACTTCGACACCGAATATTCTGTTTCAAGCAGTAATGTCAGCTTTACTTCACATTTAATCCAAAAATCCAAATTAAACTGGTATATTATATAACTAACATTTAGCCAAATGCGTTATAAATTTAATAAACAGAAAGATTTTAATAAATTTTAATTCAGTGGCAGCACCGCTTAAACGAAATTTATAAACAGCATCGGGCAATTTTTTGAATTGCTCTCTTTTTTTTCTGCGTAGTTTAAAACAGTTTCTAAACAATTTGGCACTTACTACATCATCGAAAGTTTTTGAAATGCAATATAGAACATGAAGCATTGCAGCGAAAACGTTCTTGTTACAATATGGATATAAATATAATGTATAAGTATATGTAATTATAATAAGCATGCATTGTGGGAGACATTCCATACAAATATTTAGCAAACTTGTTAATATCAAATGTACATTTTCTCAAATTTGAAAAAAATGCACAAAAATCAACTTAATACTTCGAAATAAAAACAAAATTGCATTGTTTTTTTATAGTGCAGCGCATATTGAAATCTTTAAAAAATGAACTAAGCCTGGAAGGTTTTCTTTAAATCAATTTTTTAATGGTTTAATAACACAGATCTTAAGAATGTAAACACTAGTAAAGTAGAAAAAGATTGAATTTTACCTTTTTCTAATTAAAAATTTGAAAAAAGTCGATCTGTGGAAGATTCATGATGTTGAAGGGGGTCCTCTATAAATCCCATAAGAATAAGGTCAAGCCCTACATCTCTGTTAGCCGTTGTCCAGTTTGCCTACTATGTAGTGCTACTTTCGTTAAACGACATCGCATTTTAAATTTTGACACTATGTAAGTGAAATATCGCAAATTTGCGTATGCAAAAGTATCGAAAGTGATGCTACAGAATGCTACTTTCCCATACTTTTCATTCATTTGCCATTTTGTTTACGAATCTTATTGCCAAAGTCTAAGTTTTTGAAAAAATAAACCTAAACAATGTGTAACATTTATTTTGCTTTATTAAATTAAAAAACCTTGCGTTTCAAATTTACTGGAATTAATTAAATTTTTGTAATTAATATTTATAATTTTATAAATTATAAATATTAATAGGCTTATCTTAACCTATTAAATTATAAATATTTTAATAGGTTAAGATAAAATACAAAACTATTCCGGTTTAAGAAAATAGCAAAATAGCACTATGCCAAATTTGTTTCGCTTCTCTTTCCTCGACTTTGTTTCTTACCAGTTTTATTTTTATGGGATTGAAAATGGTTTTCTGATCAAGAACAATATTTAAATTTTAACCTGTATAAAAGTCTTTTCCTATCCATATTTGTTTAAAAAATTAACAATAATTGCCTCTAAATAAAATACTAAACATACATTTAAATTTATGACTATTTTAAAATAATTTAAATGTTTTGAAAAAACTGTCAGAAATGTCAAAAACAAAAATTTTAGAAAATTCTGCCAGTTTAAATTCTTTACTTACAAATCTATTTTTACATAATGGGCCACCTGACCTTGATTTCTTGAAATGTCGAGGTCAACATGTAAATTTCGTACGGAAAGATGTATCGCTGAGCGGTAAATTCTTTTATTTGTTTAAAATTTAATTTAAATTTAGTGAATAACTATCCTAATTATTTCTGTTATTAAATAAAATGAATTTTAATAATTTATATTTATTAAATTTTTTTTTTATTCGTAATATTTAGTATAAAACAGAGGTGGATTTTAAAAAAATAGTTCTAAAGTTTATTTAAAAAGAAAAAATTACTCAATAAATCAGTAAGATTTGGTGTACTTTTTAAAGTTTTTTTTCGTAATCATATTTAAATAAAATATTACAATATATTTGATTGCGTTCATATAAATAGAAATGCTCGAATGTGTTGCGTCGAAGGATGCAGAAGCTATAGTCTACGAGGAAAATGTAAATACTATACCTACATTTATTTTTCCAAAGAACGAAGTCATCAGGGATAAATGGATACAAGCATTAGAAAAAAACCAAAATTCGATGTGTAAACACAGCTAATTAACGTATCTTTTCTGAAATATTTTTTGTCACCTAGCTTTGATCAAAGTATATCTATTAATAAGTAGTTCGACTCGTTCCATTTCGTTAGTTTTCGTTTGCATTTTGTTTCCAAATTCTTAAAATATTCCATTTTTAATATCCAAAATATTATAATATATTTGATTGCGTTCATATAAATAGAAATGCTCGAATGTATTGCGTCGAAGGATGCAGAAGCTATAGTCTACGAGGAAAATGTAAATACTATACCTACATTTATTTTTCCAAAGAACGAAGTCATCAGGGATAAATGGATACAAGCATTAGAAAAAAACCAAAATTCGATGTGTAAACACAGCTAATTAACGTATCTTTTCTGAAATATTTTTTGTCACCTAGCTCTGATCAAAGTATATCTATTAATAAGTAGTTCGACTCGTTCCATTTCGTTAGTTTTCGTTTGCATTTTGTTTCCAAATTCTTAAAATATTCCATTTTTAATATCCAAAATATTATAATATATTTGATTGCGTTCATATAAATAGAAATGCTCGAATGTATTGCGTCGAAGGATGCAGAAGCTATAGTCTACGAGGAAAATGTAAATACTATACCTACATTTATTTTTCCAAAGAACGAGGTCATCAGGAATAAATGGATACAAGCATTAGAAAAAAAACAAAATTCGATGTGTAAACACAGCTAATTAACGTATCTTTTCTGAAATATTTTTTGTCACCTAGTTTTGATCAAAGTATATCTATTAATAAGTAGTTCGACTCGTTCCATTTCGTTAGTTTTCGTTTGCATTTTGTTTCCAAATTCTTAAAATATTCCATTTTTATTTAGAAATAGATGGTAATAAGAGTTGTGTAGGCAAGAAAGAAACAAAATATTGTATACAAACGAGTGCATCAAAAACTTTGAACTGAAATAAAATTAAATTATGTTAGGTAAAAATTTTGTTATTTTTATTTTGATAATAAATTTGTTTTTCATATTTTATTTTTCTTTTCATAAAAGTTAGGTAAAAACATTCGAATGTATGAAAGTAATAATTTTAAATTTAAAGTTTCATACTTTATTATACAATACATACCTATTCGTTTATATGGCTGCTTCAAGCTTATAATTGTCTATATAAACGTTACTTGACCTGAAGCCGGCTTCAATCAAGTCGCTTACTTGACTTGAAATGCTAATAGTGATCTGAAATTTAATTTTCCAGCTGATTTCGCGTCAAGCCGCAAAGAAGACGAGGCATAGAAATTGAGCAATTTATAAAAAAGGCCTATTACCGATACTTGTGTATGTATGTATATTCATAAGAAATATTTGCTTTAAATTTTTAAACCAAAATTGAAATAAAAGTAAAAAATTCATTGTTTATATTACAATAAATGTGATGACAATTACTAATTACAAATTTTTTTTTAACATTATTTGTCTTTTTCAAATTATATACATATGATATGTAAATTATATTTTATTTTTATTTTAATAGTCAATTTTGTTTTTAAATCGCTTCGCCTTTATAATGTGGATACACCATTTCTACCTTGTACTGGAATAAGTTACAGAAATAAAACTCCCGCTTTTGAAATTTTTAATAAATAACTCCCGCTTTTAAAAATACATTATAAAAAAACAGTTAGACATCTATTGAGTACTTTTTCCCTCTCCCAGAAATTCTTATGTGTATAAAAATGAAAATAAGAAGGTATACTGCTTAACTCTTTTAGCTAAGGGAATATTTTGTATACAAATATTGGTGTGTGATGTAAACGGAGAGTCGAAATACTTGTTTATAGATATTCTTTGGCTTTGATATTTGAATTTGACGTTTCATACGTTTAATCTTGGCAAAACCACGGAAAATAAAGTCAGTAGCATCCCTGCTATTTTAAGTAAAAAAAAAAACATGATATTTTTTATCTTAAAAAACAAATTATGTATGTACATATACATATGTACGGTAGACACATTTTGAAAGTCATAACGTAGTGTTGTATTAAATTCAAAGATGAATGGAGTTATCTTTCATTAGTTGAGGACACAGTTGTTTTCGTATATAATTTTGCTTATTATTATTTTCACAAAAAATAGATTGTAAAAAAATTTTCATTGTCGGAATAAAAAAGGAAAAAGTAGTCTTTTTGAAAACAATAAAGTTTAAGGATTTTAAAAAGCTAGCAACAAATGAAGAATTATTAAATTGATTGGACGTAATGTTTCATTTAACAGATATATTCTTAAATAAAGCCAACTATTTTACGCATGAAAATAAAAATTAGCAACTATAATTTATCGTGTTTGAAGAATTATATTGAGAAAAGATGGCAGCAGCTACCAGTGTGGTTGTTTTAGATCGTGGTAATAATACAACATGTACAATCAATTTACACGGTAAGTGGTTAAGCTGAAATAATTTATTAATTGTATGTACATATGTTTAAATATTGCTGCTGAAAATAATTAAAACTTCTAAAGGCAGCTTCGTTATTTCAGTAATTACTTAGAAAGTCTTTCAATGTACATGTAGATGAAAAGTGAAACAATATTGCTAGTATACGGCAAACAATCTTCAGTAAAGGACACAAGGGAAAAAAGAGCTATTTTCAGGGTTTCCCGACTATTCTTGAGCTAAATCTTGTTATGTTATAGAATTGGTGTGTTACAGAAGAAGATGTCGCTTACGAACCAAAGTGGTTGGTAAATTCTAAGTGTTTAAAAATATTTCGGGTTGAAAAACAACTTTTCTTAGGATTATCAAAATATACTGCTGCATATTCATTTTCTTTTTTTTGCAAAGTGCTATATTTTTACATGGATAAAAACTTTGTTGTGGTTTGTCTTGATTTATACATTAAACATAGTTTTTTGTAAAGCAGCTACATGTTTAAATTATCCATAAAGCACTATTCAATTTTAGTTTGAAAAAAATGAAATTTTATGCGGGATGATTTACAAGGAAAAAAAAATTTTTTTTAATGCTTTAATTTTTTTTGTTTTGGTAAAAGATATTTAATTTAGACTTGACACTTTTATTTTGATATAAAATAAAAAAAAACTCAACTACAAAAATTGGTTAATATTAAAAATAATCTAAAATTTTTAGGTGCTACAGTGGTTTCTTGGCGTGTTAACAACCAGGAACAACTATTTGTCAGGTAAGGATAACCTAGAACGCAAAAATATTTTTGTAACAGCTAATTTTGCTTTATACTTGTTTATACATCATATTATTTAGTAAGTTCGTGCGTATTAATAATATGATCCTTCAATCTAATTAGTATGCTGTGCATATGAATTTTAATTTGATTCTTTCTTCAATTTTAGAGGAATTTAAAGAAATTCTCTGAATTTCGATTCTTTAATCTAATTTAGTATCTCTATGTATATGTCGTTTATTATGGCAGTTTATTTAATTTTAGAGGAATTTGAGGGAGTTCTTCGATTAAGTGTAAATATTTTGCATCCACTGTGAACTTTTGTTAAAAGTTTGCTATGAATGTAAAATTTTTTTTTCGTATTTTCTAAATGATTTGAAAGGATATTTTCAATAATACTGCGATTTCATTAAAAAAACTGCAATCTGTTTGAATATAACCTGTCACATCCTGTGATTTGTTTTTGTCACATTATGTGAAATTTAATCATCAGATCACATCATGTTTGACATCTTCTTTTGCTTACCCTTATCGGTCTTAAGTCACTTCGGACGTGGCAACAATAGTTTTCTGCAGCGATCGTATGGCATGTGTGAGGTGACAAGTTGAATCATGATGAGACATGCTGCCTATTAAATTCGCTCACGATTGTCTTTTCAGTTTATCATTACCAACGGACCTTTTACTTTATGCTTTGAAATTTCAATACTTTTTTTTATAGTTTGAATTTATTTTTTATCTAAAAAATGAATAAAGAAAATTTTATAAATTTGAATAGTGGTAGTTCAGAATGTTGGAGATTGCTTCAAAAAATACCATACATTAAAAACAGAAATAAATGTCGTACTTCTCCAGAAAATATGTAAATATTTGTAAGAAAATTGTTAAATTGAAATTAATTTAAACGAATAATAAAAGTAATTTTTTTTTTCATATTTAAAATAACTGCAACCTGGGGAGAATTAAGCAAGCAAAACCCACATCCGATAAGGGTTAAATAATTTTTCATATTTTCGCTAAGTGTAAGTTTTTATTAGAGTCTTATTTAATAACTTGCAAAGTTGTTTAACATTTTTGAACGCATACACTGCAAATGGAAATTATTTAGTTCATGAAATTCAGCTTCATCGATTCAAGAATTAAACTTCAGCAATTATTACTCAGCAAATACTGCTGTAGTACTCATTCTGTAACATTTATTTATTTTCCTGACATATCATATAGCCCCTTTAAAAATTTGAAACAATTATGTCTACTTATTGTCAAAGCTTAATTTATATATTATAAGTTACGTTTCATTTCTAATATAATTAAATTTATTTATAGAATACTTATAATACATAGTATTACAAGCATTGTATAAATTAATTTAACAGTTATAATATAATTTTCTTACAATAATTTAATAAATTTTATGCATATAAGTGAATGCTTGTTGTGCATTGTGTAGGTACCATCAATGCCATCAATGCTATATTATTCAGTGATCAACTAATATATTTTTTAATACAAAAAGTAGTATAATATGTATTAAAGGTTGATCATCATCCATGGCTCTTAAAAAAAAATTAAAATTTTGTTCATTAGTAGATACTTTTGATTTTGGTTACAAACAATATTCATAAAAATTTTTGAAATACATAGTTTTTTGCTGTAGTTTATACAGTATATTTTTTTTTTAAGCATCATAATTTTTTTTCTTAAACTACAATACATGTATTGAATAACAAATCTCAACTCTCAAGTTTTTTCCTCATGCCTTTTGTCGAATGTTGGACTATGCAAAAAATATGTGGAAGTGTTAGTATTAATAGTTTTGCTTGTGTGTTTTTATTGTGTTTGTAACAGGAAAGTAATTTATAATGACATAGTTTGGGCACTCAATTTTAGGATTTTAGGGAGAAAATAATAAAATAACAGTCTTCTTATTAAGATTTAAGTGAATTCTATTTTGATATAAATATGTACAGGAATGAACATTTAAAAAGGGTAATAAGCTTTAACGTTCTGAAGATCAAAGACAATATTCGAATTACAGATTAAAACTTTTTGCTGAAATTTGATATCATACGTGTGTATGTGCGAAATAAGAATAATTTACTCAAAATCTTTCCGAACTAATTTTGATTAAACATTTTTGATTGTTTTAATATTTTCAACTTTGTAGAAAATTTAAACAAGAAGTTAAAAATCGATGTAGAAATAATTGCAATATATTATCAGAATATTTCAAGAATACGTAAACCTTATCCCACCCAGATGTTTTGATTATCTCCTGGAGTCTCACATGGCAAGGTTGGGATATTTGGTCGAGTATATGATGCTAGATTAGACAAAATATAATTCTGTTTTATGCCAGGTTTTGAAATCTACGGTCTTATATTAAAAAAAAATAAATAATATATTTTGTAGATTAACTAAATATTCGAATAACCATAAATAAATATTTTTGTTTAAAATTTATTACGCTTATTTTTATCGATGGTCGCATTTGTAACTTTAGTGTAATTTGTAAATAGATTCTGGATACTGTTTTGTGCTGAAATTTGTGTTATGTCAAATTTTTTGTCAAAGAGTTTTCAATGTATTTTAAACTTTATTATGCCATAAACACACAAGGCACAATTTAAAAAAAAAGACTCAAAAAAAAAAACTCATGCCAATATCTCAAAACTTTTGGTAGGAGATATTATGATACATTAAAAGTTGAGATTGTAACTGATAGGGAACGGATTTTTAGGTTTTTACCTATTTTTAGTAGTGCTTATTGGGACATATTTACCAATATACAAATGTGTTTCATAAAATTTCCTTTTATTTGGCATCGATTTGGAAAAACCTTTTTCGGAGTTTAACACCTTTTTTACCTTTTATAATATTTTTTTTGTCTTTTTTGAGCTATTTTGCCATTTTTCAGCTACTTTGCTGAATGCAATTGAAAATTGAGTCAAAATATTGTCAAATTCTCATCAGAAATAAATGTCTTGATATCACTTCCACCCCAACCTATTATAACACGCTGGGGGACATGGTTAACTACAATAAAATTTTATGCCCACTATTTTGAAAAAATTGAAAATATGTTGTGCCAGTTACCAGAAAAAGATTCTGCTGCCGTTGCAACAGCAAAAAACATGTTTTCAAATTTAGATTTTGTATTTCTATGCGCAAATTTCAGTTTTCTTAGCACTTCAATCACTCCCTTGAAAACTTCTTAACTCCAGTGACTCCAACTAACGTTTAAAGATCGTTTTCAATGTAAAAAAAAATTTTAAGATCTAGCCAACAACATAATACATTCGAAAATTTGCGTAATCTAATATAATGAAAATTTACGTAATATAAAGCAATAAACTGCCATTTTAAATAATGTCACAAAATTTAAATTGATATTTAACTAAATTTTACAATCAAAACTGAAGCTTTATTTTGGTGGCATAATTTTTTTTATTTTAATTTATATTTTTGATTCGTGATACTTTTTTTCGTGTTTTTATAAGTCTGAATTTTAGGTTTTTTTTGTTATTTTTGAGTTAAATTTTGTTATATTGTATCTTTAGTTAATTTATTTAGTTTTTTCAGCACGATTTAGTTATATTTTGTTGTTTTGTGTTCAGTTTTATAAATTTATTGAAATAAAAATAATACTTTGATTTTTATTGGTATAATTTTTGAAGTTTATTAGAACCTTTCTTAGGGACCTTTTTGTCGGTTTAAAGCGACCTATTTAGTTTCCTCAAAGCAGTTTTTTAGCATCCGTTTCCTAATAATTATCAATCAAACTTCGTATAGTGTTACAACAGAAAATTAAAATTATTATCGTATTGTTATTTTCTTGATATAAAATTATGTTTAAATGTATTAATGACGTAATAAAAAAAACTTAATATACATAATATGTTAGAAAGAAAGGATATAATGAAAGAGAATAGTGAAATAGTTTTTATGAATAGAATTTGAATAATGAAAAAATGAAACTTCTGAATGCTCACACTTTGCACACATCTATGTATGAGTTTTGCTACGCGTATATTCTATAGATATCTACATATTATAGCTTTATATTTTGTTTTTTTTTTTTCAAATGCTTTTATTGCTTAATTTTTTTTGATTTTTTAATAGGTGCTATATATTATTATTTACTAATAATTGTAGTAATTTAATGGACAGAATGATGTTAAATTTAAGAACAACAGACATAGACTTTAACACTTTCATATTTCGCGTTCTATTTTCGCAGTTGGAGTATTTAATAATTTGGAAACACATTATTTCCAAAGATGAGAGCATCTCTAGAAAAATTTAGTATTCGTACTTTATAAAATCTGGAATATCTTTTTCTTCGAACGATTGAAATACGAAAATGTTTTAAGAACGTTGAATAAGTATACATAATATTATGCGACTTACATACTTACATAACATATTTCACCAAATTTTTGCAATATTTGTAATACGTACTGATATGTATCTATTAGGGAACATAAGTACTATTATGTTTGTAAATTTTGTTGTTGTGGTCATAAACTCCTACAAAGATGTCTGTACTGTGGTAAATGATTCGAATATAATGTACACTTGTATTCTACATCGATTTTCCTTTTAACACATAATATAATTTTCAGAAGTTATTTCTGTAAAACAATACGTTGTTTGTTTAAGATATCGTTTTGGATGTTATATTCGTGAGGCTTTTGATAATAGTTATTTTTGCTTTACAAACTGTTGTAGTTCAAGTAAATAAATTTGTATTACAAGTAATAATTAAACTCTAGTGAGATAAGATTTTTAGTACAAGTAAATGAACTAAAACGGTTTTCAAAAGATATCAAAATAGGTGTCGTATAAATTTCAATATTATTAAGCATAAGTAATAGCTTTCCTCTATGTGTAAGAAAAGGAAATATTTTTATATAGCATCCTCGTATAGCAACTTTTTTCGGGTCTACTTTGCCTATCTGGTTTTTCTTTGATTATTTGTGATTTTTAGAAAGGATTTTTGTTTTTAAACACATATTTTCATAATTTAATTATAACTATATATAGATATGTGTAAATTATTACTTTTCCGTTGTTTTTATGAGCAGGAAAGCGTTGCAAATTAGAATTGCTCAAAGACGTTATCAATTAAAATTTACCTGAATTTTCTGAAAAGCTCGTTTATATTAAATTTAATTACACCTTTTTATGCAAAAATAAATGAAATTGTGCATTATTGTAACTATAAATACAAAATATTGTATTTTTCTTTTATATTCATAATATTTTTATTCCAAATTTCTTTTAGCAAACTAGCATCATTTGATGGAAAAAAAGCTATAAGGGGTGGAATACCCTTTGTATTTCGTATGTGATTTAATATATTTATTATTTTAAATGTCATTTGATATAAATATTTAATTTCTGCAGCTCAATTCGGACCATGGCCTTTTGGTCCGCAGCATGGTTTTGGGAGAATTACCCAGTGGACTCTAGAAAGGTCTCCAGAGCGATTATGTAACGGGGATGTTGAAGCGTTATTTTCATTAATGGATACTGATTTTACTCGATCTATGTGGAATTTCCCGTAAGTGTTTCATTGACAAAATTTTGATGGGTTTTTCTTGATTATTAGTTTTTTGAATAATAAATTTGTTTTGTAGGTTTCGTATTACTTATCGTTTAATACTGCGTGAAAAAGAGCTGCACTTCCATATAGGAGTTTTCAATCCTAGTAAAGATTTGACATTTTCCTTCAATTTACTATTACATACATATTTAAAAGTTCCTGATGTACGTCGTTGCCAAATAACTGGATTACATGGATGCACATTTATAGATAAGGTACGCATTTTAAGTTAGAAAGAACAGTAAAATAAGAAAATGGACTTTCGAGCCGAATCATTGTTAAGTAAGGATATTGATATAATTTTTTGGGTTTATGCAACAACCTCCTTACTCCACCCTATTAAAAAGATGTACATGTAGTACAGATGAGCTTTTTAAACCGATAAAAAAATGCATACGTTATTAATAATTTCAATTAGATATAAAAAGTAACAATTAAATCATAAATACAAGTTGTAATACAATGATTGAATTTTTAAATTGTTAAATTTAAAGTAAAATATTAATTTTCGAAATTTGTTCATTATTAAATCTATATGTATTTTCTGTGGTCAACCTTTAATACGGTGACATCATAAATGCTACAAATGAGTACTTTAACACGATACAGTGTCGTAAGTTTTGTTTTTTACATTGTATGCAATTTTTATACAAAGTAAATTAAAGAGCTTTTTGATACATTGTCCTTTGAGCGAATATCACTTGTAGAATCCTATTTATTAGAACCTAATTACGACATAGAATTTTGAATGATCACAAATTCCTTTCGTAGAGATTATGAATCACCAATGGCAGCATCAATTTTCGGAGTGTCAAATCAGTAATTTATTTTAACTAGCAAATGTATACATACATATTTATATTTTTTGATTGCTATTTTAGTAAGCAACTTTCAAACAAAAGGATATTGTTTAAAATATTCATGCAAAAGAATATTTTTTAAAATATCCTTTTGTATAAAAGTTTTGTATTTTTTTTAGTTTTTGAATATTTTTGAAAAGCAAAAAAAAAATTTTTTGGCAAAATGAATTCATTTCCTTTCACGGTTGCTGTGTTAGAGTAACTCAAAAAAAAATTCAAAATTTAATAATGTAATAAGACTTCTCTTTAAATTGCTTGTTACGAGTGATTATTTCTTTCGTTGCTTTTTGATTATTTTGTTCGTTTATACGTACGAATGGAACAATCATAAATTACGTTCGTAGCAAAAATTACCCTCAAAAAGCAACGAAAGAAATAACCAGAATTTTGGTAATTCGTAATTGATAATATGATATTCGTAATTTTCTGAATTTCAGAGCTACTAATTAATGGCATTTAATTACTCCTTTTTAGGTTAACTGAAACATCTTACTGAAATCGTAAAAATATATTTTTACATAATTATAGATAATTAAAAATTTTACTTTTGCAGATTTATTGGTTCAATTATATTAGTTATATTTCTAATATATGTATATTTCTAACTTATATGTACATAAATGTAACTAATAAAAACAAATCATTATTTCTATACTTTGATATTTTTCAAACTTGAAGTAATTTTATAGCATATATACAAAATTTTTACTATACTTTAGAACTATAGACATGCTACGATTTCCGAGTGTACATTTTATGTTAAACAACTTTTTTTTTGCAGATTTTACAGTTTTAATTTTTCGAAGATATTTTGTAATAAAAGTTAGCTCTGATTATTTAAAATACAAATAATTTGCATCAATATAAGGATGTATTCAGTAAAGGTTTCTAATAAAAGAAAACATGCTTAGAGTTTGGTAAATTTACCCCATGAAAATATTTCAATTCACAATTTATTTCTATTTTTCTTTCATAACTTAACCCAGTATCCTTTTAGATGGCAATGACGAAGGTCTATATCGATTTATTTTTTATATATTTTGAAAATATATTTTTAATTAAATTTATTTTATATGCAAACTTCCTACTTTTGGCAATCTTTTTTTGCAAACAGCAAAATAAAACTCCAAAATTTATATAAAAATATTTTTCGGTATTTTTAGATACATCTAAATAGCCTAAAAGGAAAATGAGAGTTGTTCTCTCTACGCGGTGACCTTATACTTGACAGGACAGTGCATGAGACAATGTAGAAAGCTTCCTTCTCTTTTTTTCTTATTTAACTCTATTTCTTGTAATCTGGCATATTTTAGGGATTGATTCGGTCAAATCTCGCAAACATTTTTGACATCAATTGTTTTTGTTTTTCAGACAAGAGATGGTGCTGTTTATCAAGAGGGCAGAGAAATTGTCGCGATTAATGAATGGACGGATAGAGTTTATCAGCATACACCACACGAACATATTATTACAAATGTAGTATCTGGAAGAAAGATGAGGCTTCAAAAATACAATTTTCCTGATACAGGTAAATATAGAAAATAGAAAACATGTTAATTTTTTTTTCATTTTTTGAAACATTTATGTATTAGTTATTTGGAATCCATGGGTCGAACAAGCAAGAGAAATATCAGACTTTGGTGATGATGAATATCCGAATATGTTATGTGTTGAAGCTGGCCATGTTTCTAGCCCGGTTATATTATTACCTGGTACCGCGTTTGAGGCCAGTCAAATTTTACAAGTAAAATAATATTTGAAATACATAAGTACATTAAAATTAAAAAGTATATTACTTTTTCATTTTAGATAATTATAGAAGGAAATGTAAGCAGAAAATCCAAGAGGAATCGCTAGTATTTGGCAAGAAAACTTCGACGTTACGATAACATATTTCGCACATGAAACAGAGGTTGACAATACAAAATAATAACAGGGGCAAATATGGTATGAAATTTTTATTAGGGTTTTTTTATTATTATGAATATTATGAACATTATAAATACTATAAATATTGAATTAAAAAAAATGCAACATTAATATTTTTTGTTAAAATATAGGTAGGGGTATATTAATAGACGATATGATTAATAAATTAAAAAATGTTATTCGAATTAGAAATAAACTTATGAAATCCATGCGACTTCATCGCTCATAGATATCTGTATAAGTACATAATTATTATGTAACTGTAATGTGCACACAACTTGCCACAAAATTTTAAGTGTAATAGCCCAGACATTTAAAAGTCCATCCCAGTGTAAAATTATAATTGTAGCTTAAATAATATTTACGACAAAATTGTGTTTTTTTTTTACAGTATTAACCTAGAAGAAATATACATCCACAATTTCTACTTATTTTGTCAGTTTAAGAAATGAAAATTTTTATACAAAGTTTTTTTTTTAATTTTCTTTATATGCGTCTGTGATACGTAATCTTGTGTTAACCATTTTATATCCTTATATTTGAAATAAATAATACACAAACATGGAGATGAAGAAAATATAAAAAAAGAAAAAGGTCTTTCTTTTTCAATTTTCTTTTTCAATTTGAAAAAGTACATAATACACATTAAAAAATCAATATTTTTTCAACAAAGTACGGTTTATTTACAAACTATTAGCTTTGTCTTATATTTTGTTTTAATTTACACAAAATTACACAAAATTATAAAGAATTGAATATTTTACAAAAGTTAGTTTTTCTATATTTCTTAAAAAGAGGTTTAAATTAAATATCTAGATTCACTTTTATATTGCGTTGTTTTACCTTACGATTAATTGTCCCGATTTTGCTGTGATCAATATTGAATATTAATAATTATTTGATTGCACATTTTAAGAATTTGATTGAAAAAAATGTAACAATTTGTTATTTAAATTGAAGTAAATATAATTTGAGAAACATTCCTATAAGTTCTTCTTTTTATATTTATAATTTAAAAAGGTTGGTCTTTAAATTAGATAAAATTAAGAAAATACATATTCAATTTAAAATCTATAATCACTTAACACAAATTTGAAAAAAAATCTAATTTTCTGCTACTATACAAAATTTTTCAGTAATACTTTTTCGTGCGATTCTGGTCATTCTTTTATAATTAATTAAGCATAAATTACTTTTAAGAGTGAACATTTAAAATTTACCTTAGATGGAATCATAATGGACATTAAATTTATTATATAATCAAGATCCTATATTCTTAAAGGCTTAAAAAAATTAAGTTTGAAACCCTTTCTATAAAGACGCGACACTTTTACAAGATTTTCTTTGTGTCGAGGAAAATCAAAAGATTTTTGTTCACGGACAAATTCATTTGTGGATACAAGAGAAACATCACCAGAATTAAAAGACATTTTGATTGCATTTCTCATGTTTGTCGTTAGCTTTCTTTTCATTTCGTCAAAGGTTTTCTCCATTTACGTATACTTAAAAAATAATCTTGTGGCATGAGTTGGCATTAACATTTTTTAAAACTTAAAAAAAATAATTGATGTTTACATTGTGTATTAAAGTTCTTTTAATTTTATGAAAAAATTTAGAATGTAGAACACAGTATATTTTATTATAAATTTATGACAAAATAATCTGATAAATTATAATAAAGACTGTACCGTTTTTAGAGAATTATATGCAAAAAATATACTATTTTTAATTTAATACTTTTTTCTAATACTTTCATATGTATACTTATTTAGTAGCCTTAAAAATATCCAATTTCCTTTTAATCCTTTTATGTGCCAAAATTTGGTTCAAAATTTTATTTGATTCTATGTAAAGAACAAAAGGTATACGTGATTGTGATTAAGAAATTTTTTAAACTGATGTAATGTAATATTTTATAAATTTTGTATTGCTTTTGAAATTTTTTTCGTGATTAGTTACTAAACTTTATATCATAATTACTTAATTGCTGTAACTAAATGAATGTTATAAATAAAAACAATTATATAAAAAATATATTTATATAAATATTATTTCTTGGAAAGTTAATTGTATATGCAAAATATGAGATAAAAAAAATATTAAACGTTGTATTAAATTACTAAATGAATACCGAATCTCTAAGGCTTAATGTTAAAATTAAAGTTTCCTTAAGAATTAAATTTTAAGAGTAAAATAATTAAAACAAGTATACGAACAATAAAAAAATTAATAATAAAAACACATGTAGTTTTGCAATATAGCTTTCTTTTTAATTAAGTTACTGATTTAAAAATTAATTTTGATGTTTCGTATTATGAATGTATGCATGTTTATCCATTGTCATAAATATCACTATATTGTGAAAATTAAAAATCTTTGAGATAAAGCAACAAAAGTTTTCAAATTACAACATTATTAATAAATAGTTGACAATTGCCTTTCAGCATTCAAATTCAATATTTTGCTAAACATTTTGGATTGTACGTATACACATATTTAAAGCAAAAGGCGAACAAGACAAGGGAAGGAAGATATTTTTTCTCACTGGAACTCTTGAGAAAAACAAACTAACAATATAGCTGTCTTATAAATAAAACAAATTTGCTTTCTTTTTTCTTTGCCAAAAAGGATTTCCTTAGTTCCTTAAATTATTGGATTTATTGATGTTGCTAAAGTCAACTATTTTTTTTTAATAATCAGGGTTATTAAACAGAGCTGTGATTTCATAATCAGTATTTTGGCTCAAATTTACTAAAAAAATACAAATCTGAATCTGAATATCTATTAAGAAGTATCTATTTTTTCCTAGTAGTTCAGTTAAAAGTTTGAAGTTTGCTATGTACATACGTTACGTATATTGACATTTATTCATAAATACATAAGTATATTAGTATTTAATATTAATAAACTTAAAATTTATTCATTCAAAAAAATTAAATCAGTTATAATACATAGCACAATTTATAAAGAAAATTTGGTATTATAGAATGTACATAATATTATTTGTATTTAGTTTTTCCTTAAACTCATTGTAGTGTAACAAATCAAAGTAAATTATGTTATTCATTGGAAATAAATTGAATTATGCATTTAGTTGCACTGATTTCTAAACATTTGACAAGTAATTTGGATGGCTATATTTCATGATGACAAAATTTCTTGATATACATATGTTGTTCGAAAATTACAATAAAATACCAAAATGCTGTTATATATGTGTGTACATATACAAGGTGTATCGCTTAAGGTAGCAAATAATTTCAGGGATCACTCAATGAGAATGAATTGTAAGAAATGTATGAAATTCGTAGAGGAAAATATTATGTGGTTTAACTTTTAGATCTCATTTTGGCGCTTTAAAAAACAAAAAATGACATAAATTTTCGAGACATTTCGAGTTTAAAAAAAAATAAAAAAAAAATAAAAACTTTGACTTTTACTAGCTTTACCTGGAAAACTATGATTTAATTGTAAAATCGAATATAAAGAGCAATCAATTGCCAGTAAAACAAGCTCCCGATGGTTAACTTATGTCGACTGGTTCCGAAGTTATAAGCATTTATTTATATGCAGGAAAAATCGGGTGCCTTTCTTTTTTATAAAGCTGTACCTCGAAAAATAGTATATCTGCACCCCGTCCATATAATTTTTTGCTTGAAATTGATCAAAAATCATCCCTGAAATTATTTTCCCTCTTATGCGAAACACCTTATATATTGTGGTGTATTATGTCATATATGTACATATATGTGTATGAGTATATGTAGATATACATATTATCATTGCATTGAACTATTGAAGGGCTGAAAACAAAAAGTAATACCGTGCCCACATGTTTTGCGGACTAAATGAAGCGCGTGGATTTACCCTGATATTGCGCGTATACACAAGTATTTATAAATATCCCCAACAGCATTTCATGTACGTGATTAAACGGATCGTTTATTTCACACGGCTATGATTTTTTTACACATAGTAAAATTTTTTTCTTTCTGAACCAAATTGCTAAATGCATACTATTTCACTGAAGAAAATACAATATTATAAAAATTTTGATTTTTCTAAAGGATTTAAAATAGAATGGAAACTCCTCTTTTTTTATGAATAAAAATAAAGTTTCGTTAACTAACTAAAACATTATTATAAAGTATCGGTTTTTGTTATTTATTTTTATAGTTAAATAAAAATCTCTTCAAGAATAGTATTCGTTAACAATGCTCTATGTTTAAATTCAAATTATTAAAAAGCATCTACGATGTAAACTTCCTTAAAGAGAGACACTAGAAAAAAAACCAGGATTTATTCAAGCGACGAAAGCTTTTTTGAAGAAATTTAAAATGAAGAAAACATTGGACAGCAATGAGAGTGAGCATCAAATGTTTATTTTTATATTAGGAATAAATGTTATTTTGACGTAAATTTAACTTGTTTTATGTCATGTGAAATAAATTACATAGTGTTTTTACTTTAAATTTCAATAATAGGAGAATAAAATATCTTTTTGTTGATATTTTTTTACTTAAATAAGCACCATGAAACAAGCATACAACACGCGAATTACTTCAGAGCTTACACGTTATATAAAAGATTAACTTTGTGCTTAAACTTAACTTTAAGTCCACTTGACAATTTAAATAATTGTACTTTTTTTAATCATTTTGTTTAAGGAAAAGATAAATTAAATTGTTATAGTAAATGGCTGATCGTTTTGAGAATGAATGCAGGTGGCTCTTTCTAGAGCTTAAGGTCTAAATTTAAAATGCGCGTTAACTTTTACTATTATGCGAATAAAGGGCATAAACATTTGATATATTTATGCATTCTTTTTCTCAAATTTTCATCAGTTGAATAAATTTTTAATAAATAATTATGTATACATACTATATATATGTAAGTAAAACATATTCCAGTAAAATTCCTTTTTTACATTTTTTTTTTTAATTGGTGTGAAAAGAAACACTTTTCACACCAATTAATTTTCACACCTTTTTTACACTTTATTCATGTTCAGAAAAATGCACATACTTACATATACACACGTACATGTGAGTTCATACATGCTTATATTTATATTTAAATTAACTAAGTAAAACACGAAGTTAAACTTCAATTTGAATTTAAATTTTACACTTTCGATACAATATAAGCAAAAAAGGAGTCAGTAAAATACATAATACACTTTGAACGCTGTACCATAAAAGGCGTATCATATTAATTACCTCTATATAAACTGGAAAAAAAGAATTCTGGTTTAACAAAATTATGCCTATACATATTATAGCTATTATGTGAACAGCACATAATTTAGTAAAAGTCTTTCACAAACTTTAAGTTAATAAGCGCCAGCAAGTTTTTAGTTAACATACTTAGAAAAATGTAATTTTGGCTTTTGTAAATTAGCAGACGTTAATTTAATTTCCAAAGTTTTAGTAAACGGAACTGAAATACATATTTCAAGAAATTACGTCAACTAGTTCTTTGGATATGATAAGAAATTTAAAATCGGCTTCTAGTATTATTCCCTGTCTAATATTATGTTACAGTCTAGTATTATATATGTATAACGATTTCGTCAGATTTCTTCCCGAATTCTACAAAAAATTTGAAGAATGTAAAAGTTATGTGAAGTACGCTTTGATTAAAAGCATAAAGCATTTTATTGTCATAGTTATATTTATAATAAAAAAAAAACTACCATGGCAAAAAAAAATCTGATCCCAGAAGATTATGAAAATGCGTTTTAAACATTTTACAATTTTAAAGACACTAATAAGCTTTTAGTTATCATACCTAAAAAAATGTGAATTTGGTTCATAGTAAAGTCTCATTATTTTGTGCCGTTTGAATTATGCGAAAAGTTCGTCAGTAACTTCCAGTAACAAGCAGAACTCAAATATTAAATTTCATCATCTTTCCACAAAATTTATAGATTTATTGTAATACCTCGAATTTAAATATTAAATTTCGATAAAATCGGTTGATTATTTCCCTTTATCTACGCAAAAATGTATATTTGGCCCATAGTAAACGTCCTGTTTGTATGGTCATAGTGCTGACACCTGATTTCTTCCAAAACCTAGGAGGTTAGTGTACGGTCGAATGAAGTTTACATACCTATGAAATTTCAAGAAAATCTGTTGAACATTTTCTTTATAATGATCGAAAACATAAAACAGGCCCGTTAAAGGGCCCAGTTCCGGAGGCCTGATATATCCCAAAAGTTAATCAATCCGTGCCATAGTGGAAATAAACTTGCATATAAAATTTCATCAAAATCGGTTTAGCCGAACTTGAGATAGATGCGTCCACACACAGACCGAGAGACCGACAGGTTACTAAAAATAGTTTGTTTACACTTCCCAACCATGGAGAAGTGCGTTCCCACCGAAAACTCGATATGCAAAATTTGTTGCAATGCAACGAGGTCGGTATTTAGCAAGTAAATAAGTTCGCTATTATTATTATTAATTGTATTATTACATAATAAAGAAAGAAACAGAAAAAAGCAATAAAAATTCCTGATAATTACGTTGTCAAAAATTTATTGAATTTTTTTTTAAATGTTTACTATTATTGTATAGCGCTAACTGACTATAAATAGAAAATCCCCTGAAAGCGCTGCGTTTTTTCGACTTCCTTCCCATTTTTTGTAGCTCAAGTTTTAAAAATTCCTCTAGATATCCACAAAGTCCGTAAAACAGCATCACTACATATTGTACACAGTGCCAAGCAAGTAAAAAGTTTAAAAAAACCGTGCAAAAAAAGCAATTGTTTTTTTTGTGTACCGTGTTATTTCAAATTCGCTTAAAAAAAAGAGTTGACTGTATACATTTATATTTACATATGTATACAAACGTACAATTTATTAACTAAATTGCTCCCGTAATTTGTGTTAAATATTGTTCCTTTCCCTAAAACAAGATTTCTTTAATAAGGATGAGTACTTTCAGAAAAAATTCTTTAGCCACAAGATTGATCTCTCAAATACTTTCTTGTACAAGTGAAATGTAAACACATACCTATATGTGTGTATATTTGAATGATGTAAATCTATGTAACCTTATTGAGTCTATAAGGAAATAAAAATAAAATATTTTACAAAAAAGGGGGAAACTTTAGTAATCTTGATAACTTTATAAGCGAATTTTATTAAACAT